ATTCTACCAAAATTAATTTAAATTAAATATTTTCATAATAAATTTTATTATAAAAAAACCTAAAATATAAAAAATATATTCTTTATAACGAATTTATATTATATATAATTAAAATATAAATTCTATTATTTATTTATATAATATAATTTAAATTAAATAATAATATTCAAATAACCAAATATATAAATATAAAATAATCAAATATTTCAAAAATATTTAAAAAAAATATTTATTATATCCAAAAAAAATTAATATATTTATTTAATATAAATAAATATAAATATCAATATTCTAAATAAATATATTATAATATATATAAATAAAAAATTATTATTAATAATTTATTATTATTATGTTCATTTAATTATAAAAATTATATTAATTATATATTTATTTAATATATAAATATATATATTTATATTTTAGTTTATAATTAATTAAATTCATTTTTATTTTATAATATTTTATAATATTTTCCAATCCTATTTTTTTCAATTAAATTTAATATTAAATTAATTATATTTTTCAATATAATAATATATTTTTGCATTTTTTTTTAAAATTATTATATGATATTAGATGTGGAAATAATATAATTTATTAAATTAATAAATTTAAATTGAAATAAATTAAATTAAATTCCATCAGGAATTAAAGGATATTAATTTGGTTCCATCATATTTCAATAATTTTCAGCAATAATATAGATAAAAGGGATGGCTTCTTACATTTGAGAATGGTTTTGTTTGGAAAAGGTTCTGAGATTGTGTCGTTATTTTTTGGGCTGATTAATTCCATCCAACGCTGGTAGACACCATGGTAGACCAAGCAAATTTATGCATATTTCAGAGCCAATATCCATAGAAAAGGATAATTTTGCTAAGTTCGACAAATATGCTTCTTAAGGGGGGTTCTGAAATGGTATCCTTACTGTTGGGATGGGTCAAGTTCCAGCAGAAGTTGACGGATACCATGTCAGACCCATCATACTTCAGCAATAGTATGGACAAAAAGGGGCAGCTGCTTATGTTTGAGAATGGTTGTGTCTTGGGGAACGGTTCTGAGATAGCTTCCTTAATCTTGGGTTGGGTCAAATTCCAGCAAAAGTTGAGGGATATAATACTAGATCCACCGTAGTGAGTGCAACAATAATACAAACAAAGAGAGGTCCCGCCTAAATCATAAATTTGAGAATGGTTTATTTTGTTCAAAGGTTCGGAGATAGTTCCTGAACTTTGGGTTGGATATTTTTTTATCTACGAATTGGCCGCTCACTTCACCTACTGGGCCCTCTCTTATCAGAGATGCCGAGCTAGACAGTATTTGACCCCAGCCTTTTCGGAATTAAACTAAAAAAAAACCAAAATGCATGCAAATCCCCAGCAAATGCACGCACAGTTCCGACGCGGGATTTTACAGCCACTTGTGACGCAACATGCAAAAACCACTTTCTGTGTGCCTCAGGTGACAGCAAAAGAAGCAAACATGCATAAAATAAATTCAAAAAACCATGCATTGTTGTGGAATGCAAAGGTAAAGGTACAGCCAACCACCACAAAACTAAACTGAACCCGCAAGTTCCCCCAGTAATATTCTGACAAGAGGTCAAGAAACGAACTGAACTGTGAATTCGACCATTTTTCTAGTGTATATCTGTACATCTAAAGTGGTCCCAATACCATTCTAGAACTCCGGGGCCTTATTCCCAAGGTCTAGCCATTCTGGAACATGCCAACGTGATGGTATTTTCATTTTATATAATTTATTTATTATTATTAAAATTATTATATATCTTATTATTCATGTCGCTTCGCGACGGCAACCGCCCGCACCGCATCGTTGGGCAGCCGCTCGTAACTGCCAATGATGCCGGCCATTGAGACCAAAAACATCCGAAAGTACTGATTGTCGGGAAAAAAAACGCGAAGAATTTGATAGCCATGTATAGCGGACCAACGCAGTTCAAAAAATAACGAAAAACATGAAAAAACGGCGAAATTGCTGTTATTTACAGTGTTTTTGCGCGGTGAGAAGCAGAAACCACTGCAAATACCATGGTTTTTGAGGGTCAGGTGGCCAAAAACACTGTAATTTACAGTGTTTTTTAACCAACGTCAAAAAACACTGGTATTTACGATGTTTTCATTCACACCGTAACATAAAACAGCGTAATTTACGAGGTTTTTGGAAGTTTTGAAGCTAGCCGTCAAGCATGCAGAAAACAGAAAAACACTGTAAAAACCAGTGTTTCTGCTATCACAAAACGACGAAAATCAGTCCGAAAACGGGTCCAAAAACTCAAAAATCCGCCTCCGGGCCCGGCCACCTGCGGAACCGCAAAAAAAGATGTTGCAAACCAAAAAATTGAGGTCAAAAAGTTGAAAAACACGGGGTTTTTTTCACTTTTCGCTTGCCGATTTTGGACGGGCGCGTTCACGAACAGGTGTCTTCCGTACTGTTTTTTACAGTGTTTTTTGAAGGCGAGCGTCACGACCTATCAAAAACAGGAGGTTTTGGCCGAAAAATGCCCCCCCCCCAGGTAAACCTGTAACCTTTTACGAGTGCCATCCGGAAGATCACGCCCCAGCACCTTCGGTGCGGGCGGATTTTCGGGTCATTTTATGTCACCGTACAGTATATAGTTACTTGAGGCCGGGGTTGGATGACGAAAGCTAGCGGGGTAGGAGAAAGAATTAAGGGAAGAGGTGAGATGCGGAGGGACTGTCATCATCGTGTCGCGGCATTGTTCGTCCCAACGAGGATGCAACAATGATATATGATATATGATATATAACAATGATATATATGGGGGAGGGGGCAGGGGGGGCCCTTTCGCGTGAAAAAGCACGTGATGTCCTTGGGGAGCCCCGGAATACTTGCTAAAGCAAGAAGACTCTAGCGAGCTGACGCTAGCTTTCGTGATAATGCCAATAATTGCCAATAATGATAAAATGTAATTGATTAACGATGATGATGATGATGATGATGATGATGATGATGACATGATGATGATGATGATGATGATGATGATGATGATGATGATGATGACGATGACGAGGACGATGACGATGACGAGGACAAGGACGAGGACGATGATGATGATGATGATGATGATGATGACGAGGACGATGGCGAGGACGATGACAATGATGATGATGATGATGACGATGATGATGACGATGATGATGGTGGTGATGGTGATGGTGATGATGATGATGATGATGACGACGACGATGACGAGGACGATGGCGAGGACGATGACGATGATGATGATGATGATGATGACGATGATGATGACGATGATGATGATGATGATGTGGTGATGGTGATGATGATGATGATGATGACGATGACGATGACGAGGACGATGGCGAGGACGATGACGATGACGACGATGATGATGATGATGATGATGACGATGATGATGACGATGATGATGATGATGATGATGGTGGTGATGGTGGTGGTGGTGGGGTGGTGGTGGGGGGGGGGGGGGGGGGGGGGGTCCCCTCCTTTCGCGTGAAAAATCACGTGATGTCCTTGAGCAGCACCCGGAATACTTGCTAAAGCAAGAAGACTCCAGCTAGCTGACGCTAGCTTTCGTGATATTATTCCGAGTTGTTATTTTATCTTGAGTTTTTGTCCTGTGGTTTTGTCATTTAATTTAATTGGTTTATGTTAGTATCATATCTTATGTTATTATCCTGGTATGTATTATCCTCATCTTGTCATGTCATTTTATTTTTGATACAGTAGTTTTTGTTGTTCTGCTCTGTTAAAGCCATTTGTCCCCTTGATCAATAGTCTGATTGTCCTGTAACGTCATGTCTATCCCATTCTTTTGTCCTATGATCCATCGTGCTGTTGATATGTTTTATTCGTGCGATTTGGAAGTCCCTCGTTGTCGGGAAGAACTAAGGAAAATGGGAACATGTTTGTAGTCCTTGCAAGGATGAAATCCTGAAATTGGACTGTGCCAGGGCAAAACCATTTTCAAAGGCTGTCAGACCATCTCTATCCGATGTGGCAACAGCATCTTTATATATATCTTTATATATCAATTGGATTCGATTAACAATATCTGTATATATCTTTATATATATATATCTTTATAATGACGTACTTCAGGTTTCTCCGCGGAATAATTACAGCAATATTTGATTTCATTTGCATATTTTTTGTATGAAGCATCACGCTTCGTGCCCATGAAGGAAGGCACTGGCAGGTGCCGAGTCACTTCGGTGAGCTACGAATGGGATTTGAGCAACTACTCTCCCTTTCAGCCCAGGTGGCTTATCAGTAACCTTCATGGACAGAAAAGGTCGGGTCTTCGGGTCTCTTTTGGATGTGCAGAAAAAGAAATTGATGAAATTGTAACAGAGCTTTGGAATCCTAGCAGAGGTGTTGGGCAGTACTGACAATCGTCAAGCCCTGGCAACTCTGGAATGCAGCTGACAGGCTTTGAAGAGGCTTCAACCGCGAGCTTGGATCTGATTTACCAATGTTTATCACGACTCTAACTTATACATTTATTATTTATATATAGTAAATATACGTAGGAATATGTGTGTATGTGTGTGCAATCAATGCCAATTTGGATGCCTCTTCAAGCAGCGCTGTGAAAAGCACAAGCACTTGCTATTGCTGCTCGCAAGCATTGCCAGTGTGCAAGATGACAAACATGTTCTGCAGATTGCAACCGATGGTGTCTGCAATCATTGTCGCAGAGGCCAATCCGATCTATACATAATTTCTTTCCAATTGAACTTATGAAGCCTGAAGCACACCGTGTCCAAACGATTTGAACGTATGATATGTATGTTATACAATATATCATATATCGTAAGGAAAAATGATGCATCCTTATATGCCTTTATAGCGCTTTGTAACAAATCCATGTGCAAATCAAAATCCCTTTCATAATTCAGATGCATCAAATTGCAAGGTAAAAATTCAAACTGAAGGAGAGTTCTTGCACGCTGCCAAGCAGAAAGCTCAACTCATTGTGGCCAGGCCGAAGGCATGCCTCAATCAAGCAGACCCGTCACCAGCCCGTCACTTCGCATATCAAGCAATTGCAATTCAAATTAGATAAATACGCAATTCAAATATCAATTCAAAACAATTCAAATAACTTTTGGATATTTTGCTGGTTCGGATGCTTCTGATGGTTCTGACATGTCCCGCCTGCTCCAAAGGCACCAGCACTTGGCTCGCCAAAGGAACCAGCCTGCAACAATGAAGGCAATTGCAGAAGGCATCACAGCGTCAGGCGAGCAATTCAGTGCGTATTTCCGATTTATTTGACATCAATCAGCATGTCAAGACGTCTTGCGTCTTGCATTTGCTCCAGTATCTGTAGTTGCGATACGCTAAAATTGCATAAAATTGCATTGTTCCAAAAGTTGATACCGATATATATTGGAGGTCTCTATGCACGGCGTGGTATAGATGTTCCAGACACTGTTTAGACTAGAACTCCTGAGTCAGGCACCTGCGCCCCCCAGGGCATAGCACCCATGCAGCCATTGCAGCCGAAGCATCCATCGCAACCCTGGCAGCCTGTTGGTAGGTATAGGAATGCCAAGGCAAGTGCCGCAAAAAACTTCCTATCTTCGGACGAAGTCCCATTTCATCGGGTCTCGCCTAAAGATGTCGGGGAAATTGTCTGTTAATTTTCACCTAAACTCGCAAAAAACAAAATATTGTCTATAATTAATAGATATAAGATGATATTATTAGCATAAAAATGCATAAAGTAACTCGTAAAATAAAATCTGCAAACTGGGCGGCTTTTGGATGTGGTTGATGTCCATTCCTGCCCACCTTGGCAGCCAAAAGCACCTGCTGCTTGCACCTGGGCAGCCTGCGCTGCCTGTGCCATTGCCAACGGCAGGGCTTGTTGCTGCCATGCTGCAGCCTGAGCTGCCTGAGCCTTGGTGACAGCTCTCGACAGGAAAACAGGTTGGAGACAATCTGAAGGTCATCAAAAACAGGAAAGCTATGGAAATGTCAAGGAATATAACGGGTTATAAAATGTTATAAAATAGTTTTTAAGTTTCAAGATCATAAAGGACATCTCATGAGGCTGGCATCTTGTGGCCATTCTGGCCATTCTGGGCATTCTGGGGTCTGCACCATACCCATGAGCCCTTGCGCTGGAAGCTGCCGCATAATTTCGGCTTGGAGCCGCGCGGATTCGGCTTGCGCCTGTGTCCAAACCCTTCATGAAGTTAGCCCCCGGCACGTCATATAAAAATCAAACCCCTCAGACATCATTAGACTACAACTCAGATCGGCATCTTGGTCTCTGCTCTGTTGAACACTTCAGTACGGTATATACAATATTATTGGGGCAAAGCAGTGTGACCTCCGTGCTTGTGATGCTTATTTATACTGTTCTCTGGATCTCTTTGCATTTTCGTGATTTCGATACAATCCTCGGCGCTAAAAGGCTCTTAAGACAAAACGTCAGGGACTGCAATCCACTCACCTATGTCTCATTCTTTTCTGCCCAGCGGCTCATAAAACATCATAAAACATCATTGAAGGGTAGGATTTGCCGTTTTGGTCTGTACAATTCTGCATGGGCTTGCTGTCAATCTGCCCCAGCCTTTGCAGCTTCTGCTGCCTCTCGCTTGGCCTTCTCCTGCCGTGCTTAAAATGGATACCCATCACAGACAGCAGTTTGCAGCACTCTTGCAGTCGGAAAATGGCAGCCCCAGCACAGGAGTATGCAGGAATCACGTGGGGTCACGCGAGGTCATGTGGGGTCACATGAGGCATCCTGCATCCTCCTAATTTTCAAGCCGTGAAATCATTTTCTGTGTCCAGGAGAATGGCTATGATGCTTGGCATTGATTGGCCTTCTCTTCAGCTTCCCTCTTTTTCTTCTCCTCCAAGTACGTAGCTGGATGTAGCTGGATACATCAAGCATCATCAAGCAATATCAAACATACCATCACTTGTGAGGCCGATCGGGTCGTATGATCCATAAAGATCCATAAAGAAAGAACCACATTATTCGAAGCGAATTCAGTAGGGTACCGAATTGATGTAATTTAATTATAGGATAGGAGTTGCTGAGAGCAAGGGCTTGTATGCTATGTATGCTATTGTATGTCAGCATTCCTTGCGTTTAAGTTTTAGCAGTCTTCTGACATGGCCAACTCCCCCCCATGAGAAGACCAGGCCGAAGGCCTCGGCTTCTCTTGCTTGCCTCTTCTTGGATTCCTCCGCCTCACCAAATCGGCGCAACCAAATTACAAGGAGAGCACCCCTGCCACCAAACGCCACCAATATGGGCTCAGTGGCCATTTGATCAATCTAAAATATAGCATGATATACTTCAGCCATGCACACAACGACCTTGGATTGGACGACGGTTTGCTGTTCTTCCGATTCCTTTATACTTTCAGCCGAAGCATACAGATCCTATAGTGTCGCAAGAAGAGCCTCTTCAATTTTCCTTTTTTTCTCTTTTTCTTGCCGCTTCTTTTCTCTTTTCGCTTCTCTCTCACGCTCTTTCTCCTCGAGCTGGGTCTTCCAGTGCTGTTGATTTTATAAAGTGATGCGGGAACAAGTTCACCTGATCATTGAAGACTTCAGCATCTTGGGCAACTTCCTTTTCATTCCAGAAGGGAGCCCTCCATAAAATGCTTGAGATTGAACAAATCAAATTCATAGTATTTCATAATACTCATTGCGCTGCTTGTCATATTCCCATGCCCTTGGACACTGAGACTCCTCTTCTTCCTTCGCCTCTCTTTCCCTTCGCTCTCTAAGCCTCATTGGACTCACACCGGGACTCAGAATGGCTCTGAATGGCTCTCAGTGGCCTAGCGGCACTCGGCACTGAAGTCTGTTCCACTCTCAGGTCCCATTTGCTTCTTTGCTGTGATGGCAGGATACATCAGCTGCCACTGTCTGAATGTGATTGGGTCATCGTCCTCGTGTTGATAGTTTCCAATGTGCCGGGCAAAAAGGCCAAGCCCGAGATTAGCCATGGGCTTGCGCAGCGCAGGTTCCTACATTGCTACACCTTCCTACCATCCGATTACCGTCCCTGGGTCCGAAGCTTTTGTCGCCACTCTTCTTCTTCTTTGAGCTTCTGCTGCTCTGCCTCCAAGTTGCCGTGAGACTTCTGTTTATCAGAATTTTGCCTTGGATCCTTGGGGTTTTCCGATCAATCCAACATGGACGTTCGCAAAAACACATTATATGCAATGCCCACATGTGCGCAACACCATTGCCATTGCCTCTCGCTTTCGCTTTTCGAAGGCCTCTTGAACCTTCACATGTCACAAGACAAGCTGAGACTAAACATATGCATCGAAGCCCTACAAACTGCATCAACCATCATCAATCGGCGTTGCACCATCGAACTTTCTCGGAGCCATGAGCTAGTGACTCTAGAAAGTGTTTGTGGAGGAGTGCCTTTCTTTTCTCGGCTTCGAGCAGGGCCTTCCGTTTTCTTTCCTCCTTTTTCATCACCTTGGGCCAGAAGCCATGCCGATACAAAATGGCTGAAACAAATCGAAGAACCGGCCAAGCAGGCGTTGAGTCAACATGAGTCAACCCACCTCCTTGGCTTCAATCTGCTTCATTTCCTCCTCGAGAGCTTTTTCTCTTTTGGATTGCTCCTGCCAGACATTGGAGTTGCATCGAACTCAGCTTGCCGTGGCCAAGGCCAGTCATACAGCACAGTAGTTACCATGGCGAAGCCCTCAGCACAAACACATCAGGTGGAATGGCCGAATGGCCTGTCTCTCTTTACCGCACTTTAGAACTGTCCTATACTTTTGGTAAATTATTCGTTTGTCGATCCATTGTCATTTTTTCATATTTTTTCATATTTCTTCTGTCTTGCTAGTCTGCCATAGTCTGCTCTTGTGGACCATGAGTGCAATATCGACTCTGCTCAGGCCTTCTTGTCCAAAAGTTTGGACTTCTCTAATCTCCACCAATCAGGGGTGGCAGTACCTTGAGGGCATAGATGGGCATAGGCTCCGACAAATTGTCACAGGACAACCTTTGAAAACTTTGAACTATATGTATCTGCTAATTGCTCGGTGATCTTGCACAAATCTTGCAAAGCGAGTCAGGAGGAAAGGTTTTCCCTTGGAGCCATAGACCAACTTCAATCACTATCAACCAAAAACAATTTGCCATGTTTGCTCATGGGGAACAACTGTGTGCGGCAGTCACCTGCCATGCCAACAAGCCATCGGCCAGGGGCACCGTCTTCCGCTTTGGAGTCGTCCTGTATGCACCGGGAACAAGTGCATGATTCACAACAAATCTATGAATTCTGGTGCCTGTTTTGGAACTGCTGTCCTTGGACTTTGCACCGTCTTTATCATCGCCATTGTCCTGAACAAAGTTCAGGTTCCCCGCAGACCGGCCACACAAGAACAACATAGAACAACACCGTCTTCGAACTGCCAGAACTAGTGCAAAATCCCATGTTGGACATGCGTGAGATTTGGGCAGAAGGGAGTTCCCGAAGGAAAGGATCAGCAGTGCTCAGCAGCATGCGTTTTGCATTCAGCACACGGTTCAAAGCAATGGCGCAGCGGTTCAGTGCGCAGTTTAGTGAAACAGCCACACTTCAGATCGGATACGTCAGCGACTGGCTGTATGTTGTGTGTACCTGTCAGTTCAGGGGCAGGATGGGGCAGTAGCATTAGGATCCAATGACTGGTATGAAATGCTGAAACCACAGTTGCAGTCTGGGCCCAGTATGCCGCTGAGAAGCAATCTGTAAGTGAGGCTTCACAAGTCTCCTATCGCTGTTGCCAGCCACCACACACCACACAACCGATACACTGGATTCAAAAGCATCTGACTGTAGCTACTAACTCTCCCTCTCTCTCTCTCTCGTTCTGCAAGTGATTGCAGTTGGGGTTTGGATGGAATTCAACCCCAACCAATTGCAGGGGACAAAGGGCCCAAATGGGGCCAGTGTTGGCTTAGCCCAGCGTCTGGGATCAAAGAAGTTGTCTGCTGTCAAGGGAGGCAAGCTTTCCAATTCTTTGCCTTCGACTGGCCTCCGCCATGCAGAGCGCAAGCAAAGTGGGAAAGCAAGCACATGTGTGTGTGTGGATATTTATGGCAGAAACAAGCAAGCAATCAATATACGTGTTTATTATATATATACGTATATTATATTATACTATACTATAGTGTAGTATATTAAACTATATTGTATTATATATGTTATATGTTATATAACAATAAAATAAATTAATTTACATTTTATTAAATAAAAAATAAAATGTAATACTATATTATGTTATATTGTAGTAACATATTATATATACTGTACTATAGTATATTATCTTATATTATATTATATAATCAATATTATATTGTATTATGTTAAATAGTGTCACCTATATATATATATGTTCATAGACCATGACAAATACTGACGGAGACGGTGACAGTTGCTTCACAACTTCTTCGCATCGCCTCACAGCCAAGTACCCAACCCTCCAAAGGTCTGAAATGCCAAGCCGCTTGTACATAAAGATTGTGCTGAACTTGTTGCTGGGGAAGAATGGCCTGCTGCAAAGGCAGCCCAAGAGTGATGGGAAAAATGACGATGCGGTGAAGAATGGAGCTGCGTCGTTACATGTTGTTACAGCATTTGGACCTGCCTCAGTGGATGCCGAGCATCCATATTGCAAATTGACATGGCCTCAAGAAAGGACTTATTCAGACTCTTCAAACTTGTTCATATTCAATTAATCTTAATTAATTAATCTTAATTATTCTTGGTCTTCAACGCACAAAGCAACGCTTCTCCGACAAGCTAAGCTGACTGAGTCCAATTGCAAGCAAGCTGCATATCCTGCCTCTCGGGCCACGTTATGGGCCCTGACGAACATTCAAAATCTGCCGACACTTCGACACACTTCCCGCCTGTTGGACCTGTTCCAAATATGTCCAAGTTTTCTCTTAGGAATTGATGCCATCTGCATTCACATTTCACAAGCCGAGGCGTAGCGGCCTACTCACCACCGCCCGCATCAGCTCTTCTTGATCTGACGTGGGTCCAAAAGCGAAAGGTCCAAACAGCCTGGAGGCACATCATGAGCATCTGAATGAATCTTAATATATCATAATATATCTTAATCATCTTATATCATCTTACTGATGCTTCTGCGCTCGTGAGCTCATCAAACTCCACAGTGCATGCACAAAATCATTTCGGTCCAAATCTCCCGCCTATGTCTCATCTTGGTATTGTCAGAGCCCACCTTGCTGCCAATGAAACTTATGACCGGCCAGGCTCTGAAAAGCAAGGCGGCTCCGGCAAAGGTAATTCCTATCCTCAGCGGAAAAATATGGAAAATAATGCAAAAGAGATCAAAAGAGTGTCAAGAGTCAAGAGACATCTCTAGATGAACTGCGGCAAACTAATGCTACGCCAAAACTGATGAAAATGCATGATGCTGCATCAGCCATTGCAATGCTGCCATGGGTCATTGCTAGGAACCATATGCTCGTGAATACACTCCGTGTTTCTAGTGCTGAGCGCCCTGTGGCCTGCACGACAGGAAATTCTGTCCGCTGGGGCTATCCACCAAACAGATCCCTCTCAATGTGTCCCTCAGTTGTCCTGGCTTGGGAAGCAGCAACCAATTGATCACCACCTCCTATGATGACAATCGAAACTTACTAAAGTCTACTGCACCTGCACAGCTACAGCCCATCTCCAGGCTGCCCAAATTCCAGCGCCAACAAGAACAACATGGAAGATCGGACTCCTACACGCCAATGTGCTTCATAAATAAAAAGTCATAAAAAGTCCCAGCCATGGAGAACTGAAATGGAGCTAAAGCTGGAAACAAATGGAACCAATGGATGGGACTTGGCAAATCCCATCGCTGGGTAAATTGACAGGTGATGGGCAAATATGGGCAATGCGTGAGACTGATTACTGGCCAGAAGCCTACACCATCCACCAGCAAACCACTCCGGCAACCTTGAACACATTGGACTCCGACCGTTTAGATCAAACTTTGCAGCATCGCATTGTATGCATTGTATCCCATCTGCGTGTCCTCCACCAGGAAATTGGCAGAAAAATGCGTTCAATCTTGAAGCCAGTCAGCGAGCTTCCTGAGTGCAAAATGTGCAAAGCCATGGCTCTTGACAATCTGCAGCCTGGCAGCTTGTGCAAAGTTGGTTCAATTGAATGCAATGAAGTATTATACAATTTCAGCCCATGACCGTTCGCATGAAATCCCGTGATCGAATTAATTAGAAGCACAAAGTTGAAGAAAGTGCCGATGCACACACGTGCCAGGACGTGCCATGATGGCTACAACATGCTACAACTCTCCACGGAGACAGCTCAGTGTTGCACAAAAAAAACGTCAAAAATTGTCTGAAAAATGCTTGAGGCAGCCATTCAACTGGACAAATATGCTCTGGAAATTCTGCGCTGAACCCACGTCTTCCACAGCGACATTATGACAACATTCTGGCGCTGAGAAGTTTTCTCGCCCTTTTCTGTACTAGTAGGACTACAGTGGGACTAAAAGCCACCATATGCCATATGCTGGGATTTGCTTCCTGGAATTCCTGGATGACCTTCAAAACCTTCTGTCGTCAGTATGGCAAGGCACCGTTCCATGCACTGACACCAGCAATGCTGTCGCCCTTGCGGGCAACAAAGGTACCCTGAAGCCGGACAAGCAGAAATGGTGCCGAAATTTGAGATTGATCCCAAATGAAGAAACATGAAGAAACCATTCTCACACTTACTGTATCTCCGCAACCCCGCAACTGCCTAACGTGATAAGGTGAAGTGTAGGCTACACTCAAATCAGTCTGCATCAGCAAGAAGGCAGCAGTTGCCCGCGCAACGGGAACATTACATGCCCAGCCATGATCAGCAATGCTTCTGACAACACATGCGACCGTTTCCTAACCCCTGCTGAAAAAGAACAAAAACAGACTATGGCGTTTGACAGCATGGCGTTTGACAGCATGATCCAAAAGCTGTGTGTGGTGCCAGGTAGCCTCATATAGCGGAGAATCAAATAGCTGATCAAGCTTCTCCAAGAACAAGTCTGCAGAGGAGTAGAAGCTGCTGGTCAACTTGATAGCTGCCTCCTGGCAGTGTGCTGCCAATATGTGAGGTTGGTCGCTTCGAAAGATGAGGTGACCAAGAATACCAATACAGTTATATACTGTATCCCAAACGAACATCGTCGACTGATATAATATACTCATCAGCAAGAATCATGATCCCGTGCTCTTAGTTTCGTGCGAAGGACAGGAAGCAGCACAAGTGGCCTTGCCAACAACTTCCACGGAGTTCACGCTGTCCTGATAGGAGGCACTAGTCTGCCCCTCACACCTTGTATCACCTTGTGAAATGTGTTCAGCTCTCCCCAGGTTTTTCATTGTTTTTCCATACGCTCAGCAACCCACTGGATATACAGTGAGAAGGGTGTGAAGCTTCCAGCGTGCGTGTGTCATTCGTTGTCTGCTCGGTTGATTGCTTGGTTGAGTGCTTGTCTGCTCGTGACGCATCAACAATGGGTGTGCCCACTGAATCCAAATGAATCCAAACAAACGTAGGAATGGAACAGAACAACTCTATGCCATGCAGCATTCTGAAATATCGAACGTGTTTTTGCAAGAGGTGGCTTGGCAAAACATTCCAGCTACATCAATGCTTTGTCGCCCGTGTCCGTCCTCCAAGTCAGGAAAGGCCAAAAGAGCAAGTGCAGGACTTCTGTGGCTGGCGTGCACGAAGCCTCGTTTGGCATAGAGGGACTTTGCTTTGGTGTTGTCCGAATTGACCTCAGAGGGCGGCTTGTGACATGCCAACGTATTCAAGCCATCCAATACTCATCTGCGTCCAAAATTTGGAGTACTTCCGTATATTTCTCGTATCCCCAACCTCAAGCAAAGTGGGGCAGCTTATCAAACAGTCGGAGGCGAATGGTGGCAGCATGCACGCTTTCCAGGCTCGCGCCTACTTTGCGAGACAGAATTTGTGCGCTAGCTAGCTAGTCAGATTACTGTAGTCGGCTGGGGGTCCCTAAACCGCTCTGAATTCAGATGCGAGAGCGCTTGCGCAACTTAGGGCAAGCAAGAGAGACAGCGGCGCAACTTAGTGCACCATGTGGCCTTTGGCCCGCACAAGCTGACGCCGAATCTGTGAAACCGTCCCATCCCAATCAGGACAATATCAGGACACACCATGAAATCGTGCTAGAGCCAAAGCAGCAATAGAAATTCAACAATTGGCACCCTCCAGTCTCTCTGTCCCGAAGCTTGCTGTCCCATTGCAGGTATCTTTGCATTCTTGACTTTCCAAATGTCCCAAGCTTCTTCATTCGTCTTAGCCTCACAGCCATCAGTGGAGCACCCGCAATCTCCGTTAGAACTTCTGTACTGGAAAAACAAACCATTGCATTCATTCCCTGCTCGTGAGATCGCAACAAGCCCACACTGTTCGAAAGTCCCGCCCATGGGGAACAATCCAAGCCCCCGCAAATTGTTGTAGTTTGAGCAGTGCTTTTTAAATGACTCAAGTTCATACTCCAAAGCGCTTGAACCTGTAAGAAGATAGTCTGCAGGTGGATGTTGATAATAAATGGCCCAGTTTGAAAGAACCGTCCTGCCATTGCAACTCGTATCCATGGCACAGCCGCAGTCTCCATTTCCTGCTGCATATTGGAAAAAACCACCGCTGCACAAGCCTTGCGAAAGTGCTGGTCCTGTGGCAAGCTGTCCGCAAGACTCCAAAGAGCCGCCCATTGTCCACAGCCCAACTACCCTGAGGTTGTTGTAGACGGAGCAGTGCTCTCCATCCTTGACCAGTGAGAAGTCTGAGGTTGGACTTGGTGTGGGCTGCGATGCTACACCAATTTCATAAATTGACCAACCACCACTTGGGCTTCGGTCTGCACAATGATCAGTAGCACAGCCGCATTCGCCCCCAGCGCTGCGATAGTAAAAGTGATTCCCATCACACAGTCCTTGATCCTTCCCTTTGCCCGCAACTAATAAAGTGCAAGCTTGCTTGCTTCCCCTTGCCCAAAGCCCGGTAAGGCTGTCACGGTTGGTACAAATCTGCCCATCTTGAACTAGGGAGTAGGCCAAAGGAGCTTGCATCTGTGAGACAAAATAGACGCTAAACTGCAGATCCGCTGTTCTGCCTAGGCAGTTGTCATTGGCGCACTCACACCCGCCTTGCACACCGTAGTTTATGAAATCTCCGGCGCAGTGCCCTGACCACCCAAACAAGGCAGATTGAGAATGAATAACGCAAGCTAGTACTTGGAAACGATGATTGAACGGCCGATACACACTAGACAATAAGCATCTTTTCAATGGGAATTCCAGGATCCTAAAATGGAGGTACTGTACCATATAAGGCCATATTTTGTGGGGATATTCCCTTACATAGCCCTTACATAGACCTTATATATGGTAGGTACCTCCAATTTAGGTTCCTGAAATGGCCATTGATCTTTGCAGTTGATATCACACAAGTTTGCAGCCTGATGGCTGTTGACAGGGATTGCAAAGCACAAGGAAATGTGGGAGGGTCAAGACTGAAGGGCAATAGAAGGCAATGGCAGGCAACAAAATAAAATGAAAAAATGTGTTTAAAAAACACGGAAAAGGCGGTGAAGGTATAGCTGGCATTGAGTCGTGCATATCATGCGAGCTATCATTGATAGATATTGATAGCTCACGATATTCCATGACATGTCAATATATTTCGCATATATTTATTCATATGTATATATACATACATACATATATATATATATACATATATATATATATACATATATATATATATCCATATATTTCTCGTTTCGTTGCACTGAGACCAATGCCCCCTGTGAGCCTTGAGTTCTCGCAGCTCCCATCACAAGCGCTGCGCACGCCTGCAACGAGCCACTGCTCCACAGCCCCAATGCTTTCAGATCCGTCGCGGAGCTGCAGCGCCTGGCACACGAACGAAACGTTATGGTAAGTTGTAGGCTCAAAAGAGATCCATATAGATCCATTGTATATGACATATCGCTGCAAGATAAAATCATATATTCTGTGTACATGTGCACATATTTATCCGCATGCTGTTCATCTATGTACTTATTACTACTTATACGTATGTATTTTCTGTATGATCTTATACAGACTTGTGATGTTGCATGGGGTGGTTGCCTGGTGGATCTTGTTGGATATGATTGGAGGTTGCCTCCATCTGTTTGCCGTGTTTGCCGTGGGGTTGTTGGTGTGAGCTTGCAGATTGCGAACTCTTCAACAAAAACATTGTCAAAATGAAAGAGTCCCGGGTACATGTAGCTTTCCAATGGTGACTCCTAATTCCTAATCCATTGAACTCATAGTAAATAGGAACATTGAGAATTAATCGAAATGAAATCCTACCCCTCTTTCAATCCAACATTATCCAACACGCTTTTGCAACCGCTCCTCCCTCAGGCCCACGAGCTCGCAAACATGCAACATGAGGGATCAAATTCAAAGCTTTGATGCTAATTCTTCAAAAACAGCAGTATAATGATGTAATGTAGTATACAGTGGTGCGGATCGGATAGCAGGTTAGCTCACATGATCATCCATTTGCACTTTACTTTTTTGATTCGCTGTTGGCCGAAACCAATTAAAACAGCTGAAATCAAAAGAAGCCAGGCTCTATCTAGGCCTCCTCACTGTAAGAAGGCATGAACTGAATAGGACGAACAGCATAAAACGGACATTGCTGGCAACAGTGCCACGCATCAAAATAGGAGTGTGATATAATGTCAATGTATGTCAATGTGATATTCGTGCGCTTGTCAAAGCCAACCAAAGCAAATCTGTCTCATGACATCGGGCAACCTGACTTGCAAGGTCTTTGCTGTGACGACATTTTGAAATACGTAAGCCAATCCAGCTCAGAAAACAGGATGGAAATGATGAAGCCAGTTGGCTAAGAAAAAGTCAGGTAGACAAGCATCCTACACTTGAGCTAGCTACCAGAGAAGTTGCAAACCCTTGGTGATATTCGTATGGCCCGTCGTCTCGAGATGGGTTCAAACCTCTGAGAGCTTCAACTTCCACCCGGCTGTGTGCCTGAAATTCTCCATGAGCCCGTAGTGAACAAGGGACTCTCCATCCAAATGCCGTTGTCCAGATGCGACCACAAAAACGAAGAACCAAGTTGCCGCCATTGCGGCGCTCATGTGACGGATGGCAGTTCCAGTGTCCGTATGCCGAGGTCCGCGGCTGAAGTTATGTGCTGATTTGAGTGTCTCCTTGTCGATACGCCTGCTCTCAATCTACTTCTGGCTTGTAGCCTTTTTTTGCACATGATTTGATTATATTTGATTTATATATCTATATATATAATATACATATATATATATATTTATGAGTGTTTTATGTGTGTGTGTGATTTATAGTTATATATTCGTGAACAAATGTGAAAATCATATCGCATACAGTATCTGTGGCTCCATCTTGAGCCAAAAACACCACACAACAGCACCCTCTCGCGGAAACAGAGTCGTTGTAGCAAACTCAAGTCGCTTGCAATCAAAGCCTGGTAGCGAGCAACTCTGGTCCGAAAGTTCGTCTTCATGTAAATAGGCGTGGCCGTCTCTTCAATGGCTCAGTGCTACATTACAGCGCAGCTCCGCAGAAGAGTATGAACGTCACTTTTCTCTTGCAGTGGCGGAATGATTGGGAACTATATGTCAGTGCTTATCCTTGTCATCCAGTGCTGTTGTGGGAAACTGTCATAAACTTCCTGAAAGGTGTCTCAAAAATAAGCGCTGGCAAGAATACAGCATTCTCGAACTTGGGCACCTATCTGCGTTGTACGATGTTGTATATTTAGCAATTTAGCGCACCATGTGCGGGATCGAGGGGTCGCTGGGGGTATCGCTGAAGGGGATCCTGGCAAGATCAGTTCCTCCGAAGATCTCCGAAGTATATCGTAATATGTATTAGATAATGATAGATAATGTGTGTATCTCATTGTATCTCCCTCTCTCTCTCTCTTTATCTCCATCGCGTTCTCAAAGAGTTCAGGTAAGCTATATATGACATTATATTGTAATATATTGCATATTCATGTATATTGGAATATATTGGATGTAATGTAATCCTTGTGTGGTGCCAAGGGGGGTGGAACACAAATGATGGTAAACTCGGCATCGCTTGGCATCGGTTTAAAACACAAAAAGTTTGGCTCGGGCCCTTTACAGTACCGTGTTTTGATTCTAACCCTAATTAGTTCACTCAAGAGAAAAACAATGATTAATTAATGTCAAGTCAGGATTAATCAACCCCTCCCGATTAATCAACCTCCACTGCCCCCCAAAAAAAATGTAATTTAAACACAGGTGGTCCCCCCGGATTAATAAGCACTTTGGCCTACCCCCGATTAATCAACCCCCTGTGCTGAAATCCATTTTTTATCCAACAATTTTTATTTACAATTCTATTTATTTTCAATTGTTTTTTACCTTTTTTTTTATCATCATTGTTATACTTAAGGTTTAAGTTGATCATTGAAAATTTCAAAAAACAACTATTCCCCAAATGATCGATTTCTAATTAAAATCTTTATAAAAATCATCAGTTTGGATAGCTCCCAAAGGGTACCCCCCATGAGCCCAATGTCCCCCATTAATAATAACCAGGGTTTGCCCCTGATTAATCAACCACCTTTCTGAACCATGAGATTTTAACAAATCCAATGGAATTCAATTAAGATCTAATTGACTCAAGCCATATCCAAATTTTTATGGTTCAGAGTTGCTTATTATTAAGGGGCGTTCAAGGGGGGGACCTACAAGGTAGAGTTCTGACCTTCTGGGGGGGGAGGAGGGGGTTTATTAATCCGGTGTTGGCATTAATCAGTTTTGATTCTTAAGTCCTGTACAAGTGAAAGAAGCTGGACTGAAGCACCAAGGTAACCATGCCAAAGGGGTTCTCATGGCTTATCCAGTGATCTCAAAGATCCGAATGCTGGGGCGATGACAGTCAAATAGAGGAAGCTGGCACCTTTGGCTGCACAGCCTTCCTGGCCCGGAGCTTGGTGGGATACTGGCAGTATGGGGAGCCAGACTGCCTCTTGATGGCTTTCAGGCGAAGGCAGGCCGTTTGATACCATGCAACCATATGCAACCCACACTGTTGCATACTGTTGCGGTATGTCGAGGTAATCAATTGTTCAATCTCGTCCGTGGATGTCCATGGTGCATGGCAACCAAACTCTTTAGGATCTTTAGGGTGGCGGGCTGAACATGTTCATGAATAAAAACAATGCAATTAAAATCACCTTTGGGGAGCAAAAATCCTGATGCAAACGGAGCAGCTGTGCATACTGACTTTCGGATTGATGTCGGTTTCTGTGCCGCTGGATGTTTCTGACCTCCTTGAAAAAGACTGGAAATCAGACGCCAAAGAAATGAGGTGGAACAAAGGCATGAGATGGCAACATGCAGGCCCTTAAAACAAAAAACAAAAAACTACAACACCAAACTAATGACACTTGAAGGGGCACCCACCTCAATTTGCTCCGTCAAAGCCTTGCCGATTCCACAGCCCTGGTACTCCTCATCAACTCGCCTAGAGCATGAAGCACTGAAGTCACTTCTTGAAACGCTTCTTTACACCAGAGATACAGAGGCCCACAAAGCAAGTCATGAACAGCTCGATAAGTCTCGATTTAGCCCAAGCTTCAAATCAAAGATGTACGCCACTTTGCTCATCTTGGAATGGATTCTAGCAGTCTTCAAGGCCGCACAGCCAACGCCAACAATGCGCCCACCTTGGGCAACACCCGGCCCCGAAAAAAATCTTTGGATGGCATCAGCATGGCAGCAGCATGAGGCTATGGAAAAAGGAAGTCGTTGTCTTTCAGTCTGTGCGCCAGATTGCGCTATCAAACGAGGGATCGAGGAATCACTTTTGATGATATGATTTGATCATAGGTGATCCCTTTTTTGATCCTGTTTGGTGTTTTTTGCGCAAAATGAGCACTCTGGAGTCTAGAAGAAGAGCAAAAGAACTAGGACCGGGCAAAAACCGAGAAGTGGACGAAGCAGAAGGAAAACGGAAAGGGGAGCCAGAATCAACACAAATACAAACTGATCAAATTGCGAACAGCAAGAACAACAAAAAAAAAACAACAACAACAACAACATCATCATCATCATCCTCATCCTCATCCTCATCCTCATCCTCGTCGCCAATACAAAGGAGAACAGGACAAGATGAGAAAGGCTCTGAGAAGAACAAGAGGAAGGAGAAGAAGAAAAAGAAGAAAGAAGCAGAACACGAAGACTCGAAGCAAACAGCCAAGCAAGCAGGCAGGCAGGCAAGCAAGCAAACTCAAGCGAAAGCGGAAGCACAAGTGCTTGCAGAGCTGTCCCATTCATATTGAATACAATACACCTCCTGTCTCTCTTGACCCGCTGGACGGGCAACCGTCACTGGTTCTTGAGTAAAAACCGCGTCCAAAGACTCTAGAGCCAAAAGCAAGAAGGAGCCCAACAAACCTCTGTGCCTTCACAGGGTAAAACAACCCTCAGATCTTTGCCCTCACATACTAGTGCAAGCATGTAATCGATGCAATCAAGACCTGCCGCAGCAATGTCACCCTTCCATGTCAAAGGCACCGTTTGACCGATCCTCTGCTACCCTTATGATATGGTCCTGACAATGGGAAGGATAGGATGTGAAAGGATGAAGCACAGCAACTTAGATTTATTGGTACCACGGGTCTCAGGTGGCACTCCCAGCAAAAACAGCATTGCCATCCATTACCCCTGCGCCCATCATCTTTGTAAACCTAGTTCTGGCGTAGTTTTGCGGCGGGTTTGACACCCAGTCCTCATACTGCTGTGGCTTGGCATCGAAGGTCAGGAAATGCTCAAATCCAGCCCGGATAAACACTCGAGTAAACTTTTGGAGCCAGGGGTAGCGCGAGCCTGACCGCTCTCCAATGCTACATTGCGCCACTTGTAATACTTCACTAGTGACTACACCTAGACTCTACACCCTTGTGCTGTGGTAGGGGAAGTCTGAGCTGTGTGGAAATGCCACGGCACTGCCACCCATAGAAATTCTCCATCAGCAAATGAACAGATGCATAGATTGACACAACAGAAAATACATGAAAATACAATCTATGCAGTTCACCGCACCTACCACACGTATGCATCACAAGCCACAACGGGGACTTGTGAATGTTCGTCTTGCCTTGCATTGCTCTCATCTCCAAAGCTTTGCAAGACTCGTCATCTTCTTTCTTGTAATCCCGGTACTCCAGTTCCGGGGTCAGCAACGGGCTTGCCATGGCAAAGACCAAAGACTACTCTGCTACTGTAGAGATGAAAAGACTGCCTCCGCCTAGCATCAGATTCTACTTGACAAGGTTTGCTGCTTCTCCGCAAACCTTGGTAATATGACATGAATGTTGTAGGTTTTTAATGCCTTTGCTGCTATTTTTGTAGCTGTTACATTGCCTGGCTTTGATGCTCTATCTAACAGCCAAAACTGTCATGTCTGTCAGGTCGATCTTTAAATACATTTTTTTAATATATGCACAAAGAAAGGGAATGTACACACGTACTAAAACATGTGATGTGCAAATACATTATAGTCTATATTTTATGTATGTGTCTATCTGTGCACATTATGTCATTAAGTTCTTGACTTCGTTGAATGGCCGCAGAGTTGAAGCTTCCACTACAGTCACTATGTGTTGAGCGTCTCTTCGGGACTACCAGACTACCATTTGTCAGTGGCAGAAACCCCGTTAATCCCAAACTTTGCGCTGAGCCTTCGAGGCCGGGAAGGGCTGCAACGGACATCCCTTCCTTGGTGGGCAACTCAAAGCACCCGCTGGGGTACCAGGAGGCAACCGAATCAATCAGCCACAATCTTTTCCATGAAAAGAGGGAAAAGGAAAATAAATACCTTCTGTCACTGCACGTCCTTATCTTTCACCACTCCTTCATTTTTGGCAGCAAAGGTCAAAGGGGTCCACTAATTTTTCAGTTATATAAAGTTATATATCAATCGTGCAGCGAAAGTTGGTTGTGGTCGCTCCGATTGATTGATGAGTCTCAGGATTCAAAACTGTTACAGCCCGGTGCAATCATGAAAGTGGTGCCTGGCTGCAGTTTGGGCACATGGCTAATAATAGGATACAGTATGATATAATAGGAAATAGTCATGATATATGATATAATATTGATTTTAAAACATGATAACAAAAATGGTATGAAATGATATTATATGATGTAATATAACCAAATATGTTAACACATGATAACATATGACATAATATTTTTTTAAAAAAAGAATTAAACTAGTATAACATAATATGACTGGATATGAACACATATAATACCATATGATAACATAATTGTATAATATGATATAAAATCAACAACATAATTAATTATGAGATAATACGACGGGATAATGATAAAATGTGCTATAATATGCTATAATACATTGCTATAATTACTATGATATCATATGATATGAGCTATATAACCTCGCACCGCCAAATCGTACTGTAACTGTATTGCGCATTGCAGAAAGAACTGCCAGGTTTGTGACAATGTTTCATGATTTATGACGCTTGCTGCTGGTTTTCAAAGAATATCGAATAAATTCGAATAACATATTGTTTGACAATTTGTTTAAACATGAACACGTATTACATAGCCTTCTGTGTTGTGTGCTTAAGAGCTGCCTTGGGGAGAAATACGCTTCCAATCTGATTCCAAGGTGAGCACCGCCCAAGTTTAGAGAAGGGCACTTCCTTCCAAACCTGATAGGGCATCAAGGGGCCAAGGGGCTAGGCGAAGGCAGTCAACCCATGATAAGCTTATGACCCTCCGAGGAGCAAGGGAGATAAGGGAGGAAACATGGACCTTTCTTGATTTTCTTGCATGTGAAACTGTCAAATGCTTGTCTCCTGAAAGGCAGGAATCTTCTCTTAGTATCTCTTAGTAACCTTCCTCTGATGTTTGTGTCTGTGTCTCCTCAGGAGGAATAGAGTGATGATTCAGATTCATGTTGATTCGACACTTGGGACCTGGCCTTTTTATCTGCCGCGAAGGTCACAACGACCGATTTCTTCCTCAGCGTCACTTGTATTCACAAGAAAATACAAGCCAAATCTGCCACACCAACGTGCAGTGGAAGAGTTGATGCGTAGTAGGTCAACCTGATTCAATCTGTGATATCTGCGGATTTGCTGTCCACAGCTTGAGAGGTGTCAGGGCCTATTACTGGCCGCACCGGTTTAGGCCGTGTTGGGCCATACACAACAGTTTAGGCTGTGCTCAGGCCATAAGACATTCTGCTGGCATTCTGTTGTTTGCCTGTGTTCCACTGCGCAGGCTCAAAACATGCTGAGTTCACATGCGGTGCACGTGAGATTTTGAACATCAAAAATAAGACCAAAGGCAGGCAATATTTGCCATCGTTTGAGCTCCAACTTAAATCGATAGAGCATTGATTGTTGTGTATTGGAAGGTAATTGTGCTAGGCAATGAGCATACTTATCAAAAATGAATCCAACTGAATTTGTTAAGAAAACAGGTCCGGAATTGTTTGGGGATTATATATGTTTTTCCGCTTTGGCATTGTTTTTTGATTTCCTGTTCTGTCCGGTTTCCTTGCAATTTGCAGCACTTTGGAGCTGGAAGCTGCCATTTCAACAGCATTGGCAACATTTTGGAGTTCGAACCTCTCATTTTCCATTGTATTTGCAACATGTTGATGCTCGAACGGTTTATGTTGCATGGTATTTTGCGCCTAGAATTCATTTGGGTTGGTTTAGGTTTGGTTTAGGGTTTATTTAGGGGTGGTTTTAGGGTTGGTGTTGAAGGTTTTTTAGGGTTGGCTTTACTGTTTTTTAGGAGTTGGGTGTAGGGTTTGTTTAAGGTTGATTTACGATCTATTGAGGGTTGGTTTGGGGTTTATTCATGCATGGTTTAAGATCTATTTAGGGTTGACTTAGGATATTTAGGCTTGGTTTGGGTTTAATTATTCAGGCTTGGTTTAAAATATATGTAGGGTTTATTTGGGATTTATTCAAGGTTAGCTTAAGGTTTGTTTGGGGTAAGTTTTAGATTTATCGGATTTATTTAGGGTTTGTTGAGGGTTTACTCGCTTAGGGTTGCTTTTGTTTTTTGGGGGTTGGTTTGAGGCTGATTTAGGGTTGTCTCTGCGCGTCTTTCTCATGTTGAAAACCATTGACATGTCCATGCGACCCAAAGTATGGTACAGTGTAGTGCCACATAGTGTAGTGTAAGATAGTACGTATAGTAGAGTAGAGAAGCGTGGCGTAGCGTATGGTTGGTGCAGTGGAGTGGAGCGGAGTAGGGTAGAGTAGACTGGAGTATAGAGAATGGCTTCAATATGTTTCAATTTCCTTTCTTCCGGACCTTTATCCTGCTTTTGTGGTAGCTGCAGTTCTTGCACAAATCGGATGCCAATTTGATCCATTTTGTGTGTTCGGGGCGAGTATTTTGTCTGTCTGAAGGCTCATGGGCCGTGCCATGCAGGAGGCTTTTTTTGGTTCCTTACGCTCGCTGCACCATCAAGCGGCACTCTCGTCAAAGTTCAATGCCTCCCAATATAAGGGCAACAAATGATCACAAAAAACGTTAATGAAGCATAGCCTTACCAAGCATCGCATGGCACATGAGGCTTTTACTTTCCCTGCGCCCTGAGGGTAAGTGGTCCCTTTGTAATTAGGCGACTCGTCTTCGCGCGTGAAAAAATGTCCCCTGGTCGCTGCCCCGTTGGAGCCAGCAGCTGCGTTGCTTTATAGCATCATAGAGAAAGGTTTTGAGTTCAAAGGGCCTGAAGCAATGGTGTTTGTGTTAGTACGAGTACTGCTGTCTGTGTGTACTGCCGTGTCACTCAGGCACACTTGTTGCTTTCTTTCTTGGTCGCCGGCTTGTCGTCAATCTTTGTGACATAGACCTGGGGGCCGACAGTGATCAAGGTCTGAGCACGTCACAACATGCAGAAATGTGTTGTGTTCTACTACCTGGTCATACAATTTCCCAGCCATCTGAGCCAAAGATTTTGAAGGTCTTTGCATGTCTTTGCAAAGCTGATTGGGTCATGCAAAGCCAAGCCCTTCACTGCTTGCACAGTTTCTGGAGGTTCAATATCTATCCATCCGTATCCATTCCATTTTTGTAACCAAGGCAAAGCAAACGGGCTGCCAGAAGCTTCATTTGAAGCTTAGCTTGAAATCAGCTCAACGCTCAAATTCTGAGCGCGTCTTTGGAGCGGCCTGCCACTTTTGTAGCCATGCGCCTGCTTGGATGCATTGCGAATCATGGCGAATCGCGGCGACATTGAGTCATTGAGGGGCCTCAAAACCCGCATTGTCAGGTCTTGACACTTTTCTCCTCTTCACATAGCACCAGCCACATCTACACATGTACATACATATACTAGTATCATATATATATAGTATATATATATAGTATATACACACACGTATACATGATCAATCCCAGAAGACCAAAAAGCACAGCTTTAGCACAGCTTTGACCAGTGACATCAATCAAACAGGATCAAATTATATTTGTGGAATGTTCTGCGTGTGACATCAACCAAACAAGTGGCATCATTGCGCAGTGTGGCCCTCAGTAGCATGGCTGGTCTGGCGCCAGTATGCGCCAGTCAGTCATATATATACAATGAACACATATGAACACTCAATGAACATCGAACCCTTCGGGATCCTTCAGCTGTCACTGCAGAATGTTTTGCCATCGCGCTAGCCTCCAAAGTGCTCATCTCAAAACACACCGATCAGAACAGTACACGCACGGCGCTCACAGACAGCAACTGATACAGGGCACAAAAAGGAGCTTCCCATGCGGCCGCTGCACACTCTGCTCACGGAAAGACGGAAAGCAATAACAATCAACAGAATTTAACAGAAATGATGAGATGAATTGAGATGACATGGCATCGCATTTTCATCGCACGGCATCACATTTCACATATTTCACTATTATGCACTATATTCATATGTTTTCGCAGCGCAAGCCTCAGAATCCGGTAACGCACTCCTGGGCCAATCCTCAGATTCCGAATGATCAAGCTTCCCAGCATGGACCATCAATGGACCATCATGAACCATGGACCTGTTATGACCTGTTTCAGAGAACCACAAGATGTGAAGATAACGTAAGGGATGTAAGGGGCAAACAAGGCTGAAACCATCTGAAACCCTTCTAGTCCCTCTATGATCTCAACGTCAAGCTCGGATGACCCGAAGGGCTTCGTGGCAAAGTCTCAAAGCGGCGGACTTCTGCTATTGGACATTATTGGACCCTTTTTTACCTGCATGGTTTGGCCTTCTTAAATCAGAATCTTAAACCTTCTCAAGCTCGACACAGCTCGACAATGTCGGGTGACCTGCTCGTGTAGCTCAAAATCGAGAAAAGGAACGTATAATCGGCTTCTGTCCCCTCCGAACTTGGAACTTGTGCAGAGTTTGAGGCTGTTTTCTGAAATCCTCCAGGGAGTTTTGCCCTCACAGCTGCCAGAAGCTGCCAAATGACTTGTGTATCTCAGTTGGTGGACGTCGGGTACGCAGTGTTGAGGCTAACGAAGTCGGGCTAGGGCAAAATTGTCAACAGAATAGCTTTATGTTCCCTGTCCATCCTTGTAATGTTGGTTCCTGATTAGTGTGTGCCCCCCCCTAAACTATATCTGGACTCTCTTTAAAGTAGAAAGTCAAACATTTTCTTCCCAAAAGAAAAACATATCCTCAATTAAGTAAGGATTTCAATTGGCTACAATTGAAATTTAATTACTATTGTTTTTTTTGCCGATGAAGTTGTGGTATTTGTAGTACTTGTAGTACTTGTAGTACTTGTAGTTTGAATTTGGCAATTTTGGAAATGGCTTGCTTCCCTTCTGGGCTTCCAGGGGCTGCTCTGGCACAGCTTGCTGCAATAGTGAACCCAGCAAACAAACCTACTAAAGTGAAATGGAGCCTCTCCTGGTCCAGGGCCTTGGAAAATTGTGGAAAAGCTGTTCTTTAATAAGGGTTTAATAAGGGATTGGTTCTTTTGGGAAAGGCTTGGAGTTTGAATTTGGCAATTTTGGAAATGGCTTGCTTCCCTTCTGGGCTTCCAGGGGCTGCTCTGGCACAGCTTGCTGCAATAGTGAACCCAGCAAACAAACCTACTCAGATAGAGATGCATTTACAGGCTCAGATAGAGAGATGAGCAAAAACTTGACTGAGCTACAGCGTTTTTGAGAAAAAAAAATGCCTCTCAGCAATTACAGTTTTTTTTTTTTAAAGGGCTCTCCCAATTTTGTTTTGCCACAAAAGCGAACCCTCCAAACAATACATGAGTTTCAGAATAATTTGGAAAAAATTGCCACAATAGCGACCCTAGCTACTAATCAGGAGCTAACATTACATGCCTTTACTATCGCTTCACGACCTCAGGGTCTCCGACTTGTGACAGCCTGGCATCCCTGGAACATGCTGCAGCCACCGAGGTTCTAAGCCCTTGTATGGAGACTTCGACGTCAGCCAAGCACTTCCCTTGCAAACTCAGGACATTGGAACGAAGTCAACCCCTTTCGCCTTTCGCTGATACAGCAACTAGAATCACTAGAACTTCGACAGCTGGCGAGTCTGCAATTCGTCTTGAGAAAATGGCAGTCCTGCCTGTTGCATGCTTTAGAGCTAATCTTCGGTTGTCTCTCCACCTGGCATGGTAGCTGAGAGTAGTTCCGAAGTGTCGAGGGGGTCCCATCGTTTCGAATGAATTCAGCAAGCCCGGGCCCATCATTCGTGCCGAGAAGCTTCATCCCGCCAGCTGCAAGCACGTCAGAGATCTTTATCTGCGCAGACCCAAGGATCTTGTCATTGCCTCTGCGTCATAGTGTTTGCATGGTCTACGGATGTCTACGGACACTGTCGACACCTGCGTTGAGACAATCTGTTGCATCATTGGCCTCAATGCTGGGGCAAGGACCGTTGCGCAGTTCGAGCTCCAATGCTCCAGCATCCTCTCCAAACAGCAACGTGCCACCCCCCATCAGCGAGAAGGAAGAAAGTGAAGAAAAACAGCGCACTTATGCGCACTTGAACTTGGAACCGCTTTGCATTTGTAATACTTTGTAACCGCTCCTTGGGCATCCTAATGACATCTAATGACATCTAATGACCCTATAGATCCTATAATAGCCTATACTATAACATACTATAACTATAATTAATAATGCAGTTCCATAGGATTCCTGAGGCAAACAAGTTCACCGCATCTCCCGGCTCCAGGTCGACGGCATTGATGAGAAGAAACAGCGTGTGCTCTAGGTCCAGTTCAACCGTGCCGACGTTGGTCCCAGATGCGCTTGCCTGCGTTGGTGAGACTTCCAGGTTCTCCGTTTTCTGCTTAAACAGCTATTTCATACTGCACTTGTCATGACACATGGCAGCAAATCAGCAGAAAGCCTACTAGCAAAGCTACACAAGACATAGCAAATCCCATAGATGGCCAGGAGCTTCTGCAAAGTTCCCGGTATATCTTGTCGAAGCATTGATTGTCATACTTCTATAATCATCTAGATGTCCTTTATTCAATCTTTATTTAGTGCATTGTGGATGCTATATGGGCGTCTGGTGACTCACCAGTGCATGTCTCTGACAATTTTCCATGACCAGCGTGTTTCGTCGCAATCATTTTATGCCAAGGGATCCTGCCTCGCCCATGCTGCTATCAGCTGGAAACCAAGCAACTGCAGGTGTGTCCTTTGTCACCTGCCACAGGCTCAACGAAAGACACCCAAAGCGCATAAGATTCTGCTGAGGAAGAACGAGAGAGAGAAAGAGACATATAGCGAGAGAGAGAGAGAGAGAGTGAGAAAAATAAGCTAAAGCTCACCTCATGTCTCAACTCACACACAGATAGGTATGGATCTGCCATAAGTGCGATTGCCTCGCGGACTTTTGCGCGCATCTTCACCAAAGTTGGGTCCAAAACTGTAGCTTTCTGCACATCCAGCAGCTCGGTGGGTACCACAATTTCCTTTCAGCAACTTGCATGTCAAATATTGATAGATATTGCCAGTTGACATTCGACCATCTTCTGCCCTGAGTTTTAAAGATGTGTTTGAAGTATGTTGTAGCAACGTGGGAACAACTGACGCGCTACCAATCAATGAAAGGCTCACCCCGTGGAGCCAAGCAGCATCCAACTTCACCCGAAGCAAATGTCGGGAATCTGGACCTCTTCTACCTGGCCTTGTCCGTGCACTTTGTCAAGCGCGCACAGCAAGACATACCGAGACCAGCAAGGAGACCAAACGACCATTAGTTTCAACATGTTTCAACAAGTTTCAACCACTCGTTTCAGAATGGTTCAGGACCATTCCCTGCGCCTCACAAAGTTCAGCCACTCGAAGCGAAGAACTGCAGTACCAGCTGGAGAAGAAGAAGAAGGATGCACCGGGCTCACAACATCCTCGGCAAGCTCCGCTGAAAAAACTGATCAGAGGCGCTTAAACAATGCAGAGTGTTCAAATGCTGCTCACTGGCATAAACCGCATGCCCCTCCATGCCTAAATCCACACACCAGCCACATACATCCAACCCAGGAGCATCGCCGTGGTCACAATTGAGCAATTCAACCTCCTGTTCTGACTGGAATACCTTTGCGCGGGAGCAGCAGAAAGGCTCAAAAAGAAGTTGCAAATATCGAATGGGATCTGATGCAAAAAAAAGTTGGTCACAGTCACAAACCAAGAAACACTCCAAATGTATGGTTTGTGGAGGGGCTAGAAGACTTGCCAAAGCCGTTGCAAAAGGCTGAAGGAACAACTGCAACAATTCGGTTCTGCATAGCTGAAATAGTTGAAATAGTTGGCCGATAATGGATATATAGTATATATAAGGCTTACGGGGCAATGCCTTCAGGAGTTGTGTCCGACAATCTTATGTAATCTTATCATATCTTATCATCCCATGCCAATCCAAGACAATACCCATGTAATGAGTGTCAACTCATGTCAACACATACAGTATCAACGCAAGAATCCTCTTGAAATTCACCCCAAGGGGTCAAGGCAACCTTTTTTTAGGCATACAGTAAACCTGGGGTATTTCCAAAAAACATACAGATTCAGTAGGTGAAAGTAAACATTTATTCTACAACATGGCTTTTGTTCAGGAGAAATCTGAGACTATAAATCTCATTTTGTAGGTGGTCTATTTGCCCAGATTTCTGATTTCCATTTATATATACATATATATTTATTATCATTATCATTACAGTATTATTATTAATATGAGTCTTGCTTGCATGCTCAGAACCTGATCCCCGAAAATGGTCTCATTTTGTAAGAACATGCTGCTCTGCATTTTCCTCAATCAGGCCTCGGTCGTCTTGAAGGATCAGTCCATCATTTGTGTAAGGAAATGGACCATGGGTTTACTTATATGTGCGGTCTTCTTTGTGGCAATGTTGACAAAGAGTGAAGTTGCTTGTGTCTTCTTACACTCTTACACGGTGAAGGGGTGTCACCACATGCGACCAACAGACTTGGTAAGCCCTACAAGAGCAGTTACAAAATGATGGGGTGCGCATGGTGCACCAAGTGCACCAGCAATTGTTCAGTTTCCCTCCAGAACTGTCCATATCTACAAAGATCTCCTAGATAGATCTACCTAGTAATTCAAGTCTTAATTACATGGTCTTACAAGGCGCTCGGGTGACTTGTACAAAAGAACACAGTGCATCAGACCATCCTGGTAACACCCTCCCATTGTGTAAGCCAATGAATGAGGCTTTGATGCAACAACCAAAAAATCCCGCACATTCTTGGCGCGCAGATGCGCGCAGATTATTTTTCCAAGACTGGCACAAATTCCCCATAGAATGATATAATCCTTACAAAGTGACCTCTTACATCAACAACAAGTTCAACATTATTCCTTACAAAATGAGTGGCACCAACCCTGCCAAGATTTCAAACTGCATTTTGATACTGGCATATGGCTATATATTATATGATAGTGATTTTATGCCTACAGTAAATCATCTATTTGATTTCTCTTACAATATGGCCAGGTGCAGGCAACTCCCTACAAAATGGCTCCTCAAACGGGGTGTGACCCCTTGAGAAATCAGAGATGCTACAAAATGGCTGGCTTCAGGAAAGTGATTTCCAACAAAATGACCCTATATTTGGGGCTTTATATGGGCCTGGAGGCTACCCATTCCAGAGGGGAAGTTCAACCGGGATACGCAAAACAATTCACGACAACAGCCGCAAATGAATACATAAGGATATCTAGCACAGAAACTGGCATTAGATGCCAGGACTGCAGGACAAGAGCATTAGTCAGTCAATGCAAAACAAAATAATGGATGTCCATGCACTTCACTTCATTCACATTGTTGAACATGCCGGCTTCGGAAAGCAACTGCGTCACGCACTCATACAAATACACCTTCCAAAAGAGTTTCAACTTCTTCCCGACTATCCCTCCAGCCCTTTCAAGCTGACAAAAGTTAATCCACCTGAGGCCTAAGAGAAATTTTGAATTCTTGTTATTTGACACAACCCCGGCTGGGAGCCTGTCCAATCCGATCACTTAGGGATCGCTTTGTAGCTGTGAGGGATGTGCTCAAACTTGACTGTTGTCGGGGTATGATATTGTGTGGGTAGTCCAATGAGAAACAAGCGGCAAGGTCGTCCACAGGAATGGGCGGCGCAGCTGCAATGACCTAAGCTAAGGAACAGGTTCAAGACCTGCTCTGCAGTGCTCCAGGTCTCTACAGTAAAGGGCTGGATCTCTGACATCGGTTGGTAGCTGGCTTTTTGCCAGCGGCCACCAACTTCCCAACCAAGCGCACGCAACGATGCAAGTTTGATGGCAAGTGACATTGCGTAGAAACAACGACTTGCTGTCGCACACCCTGATTCCAACCTCTTGGCGCTTGTCGAAGACCTGCAAAAGAGCGATGGTTTGGGCAAGTCGCATCACAGGGCATATTCTGGCCGCGTGGCAAATGTTGCAAATGTATGCAAATGTGGCGTTGCACAAGATCAACACGCATCAATAAGGTCTATCAGCCCGCGATAAGTCGATCTTCTAGAAATGTGAAAGGCACGTGAGTCTGTGAGAACAGCTTGCGACCACGCGGCCAGAAAGTCGTGCTTTTCGTTCCACTCTGGGCTAGTCGAATGATACACGACTGAAGTCTGCCATTGTTCTGTTTCGAGCGACACATCCATGTAAGGACCTCACCAGCGCCGCATAGCACCGCAGCATCAAATTATAGAGCAAAGATGTGGGCGTATGAGAGTCTATGAGTGGCTTCTGCGGGCACAGTATATCAAGATTGATGTCGTCATATATACTGGATATAATATATTATATATGTTATATATATATATAGGAGCAATCTCGAAAACCCTAGGTTCACGGAAAGGACATCCACAAATTTGGGAAGGTCCCATCGCTTACAACACGTTTGTACAATAATGATATATGGCAAACTTGGGGGGTATCGCTTGCAGAAATATATATATATATATAATTCACAGAAATCAACGTCCAATTTGGGTATCGCTAATGTGGATATTAGAGAAATACAATGACATAACCTTGAAAAGGGGTATCGCTAATTTGGGAAGGTCCCATCGCTTACCGTGTGTTTTTAACAATTTCCATCAAATTCCATACACCAATGTCCGTCCAATACATATTTACAGTAGTATTGCCGGGTTTTTTGCGGTGGCTCAAATATATATATTTATATTATAGACTTATAGATATATAATGATGTATATATTATATATGCATAATTATATATATTATATATAATTACATATATATATATTATAGATAATATTGCTGCAGTTGGAAAACAGCTCTTTTTGGTAGCTTGCTGTTGTCGCTTGGATTCCAATCCGATGCGAGAAACTGCGCGAGCGGCTTCCTAAAGGCCAACTGCTTGGCAGATCTCTTGCCCGCAAAGCCCAAATCCGCAGAACACCTGTGAAGGCAATCAAGGTCTGACAAAACTGTCTGCGAAGCACTGTCTGCGAAATGTCTCTATATAATGGATTCCAGAAGCAGCCCAAAAATCTCTGGGCATCTCTTGGCCTACAGGGGCTGGATCAAGAAGGGCTCGATCTACGTTTTGCTCTTCGGTGCCAATCGGAATTTTGACCCTTGGCTGTTTGGTACTGTTTGACCGAGCCGTGTTAGCGAAAGCCCAACGGAGATTCCAACAGACCTTCTGGACCCGACTGATTTCAAAGAAAGCCCGTGAGTTCGCTGTGTCCAGAGCATGAACGATTTGAATGGCTGGCTGCACTAAGATGGACCAAGCGACACTTGTGGCAGAACCAGTGCTTGTGCTACCGCAGACTGCAGCAAGCTCCGCAAAATGTTGGAATCCACCCCTGCCACAGCAAAGCATTGCACTCTGGCTCACTCGTTGCTCAAACTGCCCGCTGCATAAATCGAGGTGAGGCCCTGGCGAGCTGCCAGCCCCGAGTACTGAAATTCCACTTCAGGCTGATTGAGAAAGCATACGACCTTAACAAGGAGGTATCACGACAGCACTGTCCCACTGAATAGCAGGTGCAGCTCTGAGGATTGCCAGCAGCAATCGCGAGAATCTGGAAGAAATTTGACAAGGCACAATTCCACCAATGACAGGAATTTCGTCGATCAATGGCTCCAAGCGTATGAGCAAGTCACCCTTCAAGAACATCCTATTGATGCCGAGTTTGATGCCATGCCTTGGCTGCAGCAGCGATTGATCACCGATCTGGTGGAAGCACACCTTCAACTGAAAGTACCATAACATGACACACCAGGTTTCCGGGCTATTACATGTGCAGTCATTGATATCACTGATATGTCAGATTATGTCAGATGCAATGAAGGCGCACTTGCATCTCTATATTGGCCTCCGTGTCCAAGTTAAAGCCAACCTGCGCAAGTGCAAAGACATACAGCTAGCAATATCTCCTGCCCAGCACATTCATGGCTGTGCTATATGTAGAATTAAGATGAATTGAGTCTGAAGTCCCTTCCTAGAATAATTTTGCTGAGCATCAGCACATCGGAATATATCTGACATATTCTGGCATGGCGTTGTCTAAAGACTCCGTCTGATTTTAAGATATGTGTCCAAATCATGCTATCGTGCTTGTTCTTCTTATCAATTTTCTTATCTGTTTTGGGAGATATTATAAATAAAAAAAACGTGCCCAGCGACCCATGCATGTATTCATGTAGAATCGAAACATCATGGAATCGTGTGCTCATTGGGGCATGATCACCCTAGAGCGACCTGAAATTATTGGGAATCAGTAATAGAGATTCAACGCAGCAATGCAAAGGAATACACTCTCCGTTCTATCGTTCTTGTCCCGAGAACACACACAGATGGACATGCAAACTTGGGCAGCCGATCACATTGACATATTTTCGCGCAATGTCTCGTCGTTTTCATTATCCTTTTGTTGTGCTTCGCGCCACCTCTACATGTTGCCCGTTTTTGAGATATCATGGGCCTGGGACCTCCTCTAGTGCCACGAATTTTCGTTGCGTTTGCTACAATCAAGCGTTTTGCCAAAAAACACAACGTTCCTATCGTTTTTATAAAAACGTTAAAAATCCTGGCGTTTCCGTCGCTTGGCTGAAGATTGGAAGAAGCAGAGACGAAAGAACCAAAATTAGAGGAAAATTGGATTAAGGCGTATGCGGGTATTTGCTAGCGTTTGCGGGAAGTTCGCGGGCGTTTTTCGGGTACATAGTTCTTGTCGAGCTAGTATAATATGCCCGCCCATAGCCATCAGAATTCCGAAACTGAGACAAAAATTCCAAATTTCATGAACACCTGTCGTTCCTAGCAAGTATGGCGTTTGCAGTTTTTGCGGGCAAAACAGCGTATATAAACAACAAAACCAATAAAATTCTTGTCGTTGGAGGGTACAGCGGATCATTTTAGCCAAGGATGTTATTCACAGCTCTCGTTTTCCCCTCGCCCCTGGGACCAAGCCCAAGCGGAAAAGGAGCCACATTATGCCGGCTACTACGCTGCCCCTGTCCCACATAGATCCGGATGAGTTTTTGATGGCCTTTGCAACCACGAGACGACCTGCATTTTTGCAACAACGCACAGCATGACATGCACGTCTGTATGTGTTTGCATTGTGTTTGCTCACCTTCATTTCGATGCCCATTGATCCATCATGTGGATGCTGCCACTCCGAAACCTTAGCAACACACACACACATGTGCATGGACAATAACAACTAAAACCCCAGCAACTGCCATCCTCAAGTCACTTGGCAGTCCAACAGGTCATAGTAATTTATGTTTCAGGCCTTCGGCAATGTTACTCCATGCCGCCATGCCAAATTGGTCTGTGAAACTGTGACGTGAAGCCTGCTAATTTGTTTAACAAGTCCCTGGTCAGGCTTCTCAGCCACCAGGCACTCTGAAAATGCTGAATGCCAGGGGGCTTCAAACGGTCCAACTTCTGGCGGAGTTGTGCCCAACAAAAAGTGGCTAAAGTGAATGTCCTGGACACAAGATTACATAAGAGAAGAGCGCAACTCTTTGGGAGCTGCAAGTGGCCCCCACGGAAATCCAGTAAAATGAAATGGATGCCTAGAACCAAGCAGGCAAATAATTATGCACGTGACGTGATCCACGGAAATACTTTTGCTATCTTTTGCTCAAATGTAAATGGCTTTCAGCTGCCCCAGTATGCCCCAGTGACACACCCAGTTGTAGCCTGTCCTGCAAAGGTAGAGGCATCTTTAGGCGCAAGCTTTGGGTGAAAACGCCAAATGGATCCTCCAACTGCCGTGCTGCAAGCGTTATGATCTTGGGGTGCAACCTGCCTCAGCTGAGGTCTTTGACCTACGCCGACCCATTTCCATCCATTTCCTGAAGACCTGTTAGAGACATCATAGAGACTCTATGTCAAACTTTGGTGCCAGCATCCCCTCACACCTGAAGTGGCCACTAAGGCAACTCACACCAAAGGCAGCCAGGAGGCGACACACCATATTCACCCAGTCAAGGTGAATTGGAGTTTCATCCGTCTGCTCAAGCCCAGATTCCTGCAAAAAAACTGCCACATGGCCGACAGCAATCGCAAGTTTTCCGTTGTACAAATGAAGCCTAACTGAGCAAGAGATGCTTGGGTTTCTCATGATGATGCAAAAAAGTGCCATCAAGCGTCCCTGCTCTTCCATCTCTGCCTCTCTGCTTGCACTCTGCTTCCCAAGCCAGAACACTTTAGGGACACCTGACTGGCTTTGCAGGATGGAGGCTGGGAGGCTGTTGCAAGTTTGAAACAGTTCATATTCCAAGTTGCAGGATGGACGTCCCAGAATGACCAAGTCCTTTTCCCCTGCCTGGGCGTCGAGCTTCGAACTTGCCCCATCCATGCGCAGCTTGGACCTTTGCAACATAGACTGACTCTAGCCTCTGCAAGTCCTTCTCTTGCTGGCATGATTGGCATGTTCAGTTGGCAATCTCAAACAGGTGGCAAACAAATCCCGAATTCGACTACCGCACCAACCACTCCGAAGCAGAATAACAAGTGTAACACCATCTATCCGGATTCAACAGAAGATGCAGCAATTCTTGCTTGTCAGCTCTTGGTTGAACAGAAACATTGACACACACAATCAGTGACAACAACTATTAACTCAACATCTTGGTATGCACGACATACACTTGCGGCCAAGCGCTGAAAGTTGGTCTGCTGACTTTCAGCTTAGCTCTTGTTGGTAGGATTGATTTTAGATTCGTGTTTTCATGATTTTCATGATCATGGCCGTGAGTGAAATATGAAAGCTCGGATACCAAGAGGCTGCAAAAGCTTTCCAGATTTCAGGTGCCGAAGCCGAAGAAGGAGCGATGCACAAACATTGCCTGTGCGCGGCATATCGCGGCATATCGCAGCATGCGACTGGAACTTTACTAAGTTCTCAATTGTACTGATGAAATGATATGAAATGTGGCGATATCTTGCTGTGAAGAAAGCTTGGCACCGCTGTGGTTCATAATGGCTCATAACTGTTCTCACCTCTTCCATCGACCGCTGCAAGTTCCAAAGTCTCTGTCTCAACCGCTGATCGCGTCACTGGCAAGCGAAGGATGGTTTCAACTTTGAACTCTTGCTCCTGAAAGCGCCATAGGCTTCAGCAATTAAAAAAAGCACCAACAGGTCACAAATGGTCACAATCTAGAAGAGGCGGGGGCAAAGGTCTCAGGCAGTCAACCAATTGTTTATGTCGATTATGACTGAATTGATCTGATTTGCAAGCTGTACATTTGATACATTTTGTAATTACGGGCTGCCCGTGTACGACGTGTACGGGCTGCATGCCCGATCATGTTTGAGCTGTCCTTGCGCTGCGCAAGAGGTGTCTGCTTCATGACGTTACCTATGCAGGCCCGCATGGCAAGCATCTCCGCTGAAAATGAGCTGGGAGCATAGACCTGTAGCTGCAGTCAGTCTTCTGGTACAAGATGTACAAGAAGAAACTCTGGCACATCATACCTGCGGATTTGCATAGATTTGCCTCGTCAAAGCGGCATTCGACTAGACAATCGAAAGCATCAGCCTCATCTGCGGATCAAGATGATCAAAATATTAAATGACATTAAATGACCAAAGAAAAAACACCGAGAAACACAGTCAAGCTGTGAGGACAGAGGGTTCTTGGCAGGAATGAGTCTCCAAGTTGCACAGCCAAGTCACCAGATCGGGAAGCACCCTGAAGGCTTGGCGAATCGAAGTGCGAATGCAAAAATTGCAAACTCAAGGCGTTCAAAGCACGCACAAACACAAAGATCACGAAGAACTAGATTTCAGAGTTCCTAAGTCTCTAGGATGGAGGGGTTTCAAAATAATTTTTTTAATGATTTATTTATGATTTGAATACGATTTCCATTTATGATTTTTTTATGGGTTCAAATTGTGGTTATGATTTTTTTATGGTTTGGATATGATTTTTTTATGATTTTTTTATGGTTTTTTTAGTCCTCAGAATCTGGTTTTCAGCTAAAAACTCGAGAAGTTTTCGATTTTTTTATGATTTTGCTAGAGTTTCCTTTTCCCCAAAGCCTTTTCAGCAGAAAATTTGATTTTGGAAGCAAAATCGTAAAAAAATCGTAAAAAAATCGTAAAAAAATCGTAAATGCATCCAAGGTCCCCAGAATCTGGTTTTCAGCTAAAAACTCGAGAAATTTTCGATTTTTTTATGATTTTGCTAGAGTTTCTCTAGGAAAATCGTAAAAAAATCGTAAAAAAATCGTAAAAAAATCGTAAATGCATCCAAGCTCCCCAGAATCTGGTTTTCAGCTAAAAACTCGAGAAATTTTCGATTTTTTTACGATTATTTTACGATTTTCGTAGAATTTCCTCTTCCCTGAAGTCTTTTCCACCAGAAAATTTGATTTTTACAGAGAAACTCTAGCAAAATCACAAAAAAATCGAAAATTTCTCGAGTTTTTAGCTGAAAACCAGATTCTGGGGACCTTGGATGCATTTACGATTTTTTTACGATTTTTTTACGATTTTTTTACGCTTTTCCTAGAGAAACTCTAGCAAAATCATAAAAAAATCGAAAATTTCTCCAGTTTTTAGCTGAAAACCAGATTCTGGGGACCTTGGATGCATTTACGATTTTTTTACGATTTTTTTACGATTTTTTTACGCTTTTTTTACGCTTTTGCTTCCAAAATCAAATTTTCTGCTGAAAAGGCTTTGGGGAAAAGGAAACTCTAGCAAAATCATAAAAAAATCGAAAATTTCTCGAGTTTTTATAGCTGAAAACCAGATTCTGAGGACTAAAAAAACATTAAAAAATCATAAAAAAATCATATCCAAAACCATAAAAAAATCACATCCAAACCATAAAAAAATCATAACCACAATTTGAACCCATAAAAAAATCATAAATGGAAATCGTATTCAAATCATAAATAAATCATTAAAAAAAATATTTGCCAAAAATGGCATCCTAAAGGATTTAAGAAGTCTGAAAACTAGATAGCCAGATAGCAGTTCAAGCAAAGAAACCGAGAAAAACACACATCGTTTACAGTTTACACACATTTGATCACATTTGAATACATTTGACATGAAGTGTCTTGAGTGACATATGAGAATTGACGCCTTCTGTCCGGAATGCAGTCAAAGCGTCTCAAGCCAATCCAGAGAAAGTTCCACTTCCCCTCGCGTCTCCTGAAGCACCTGCCGTTTCCATTTCCAGCTCCAAGATGCCACTACTGAAACTATGATGAAAAGATGTGAAAAGATGTGAAAAGATCTGACATGATATCCAAAATGTGTCTGATATCCATTGGATTCCATTGGTAATACATTGGTATCAATGGCATGAAGTCGTTATCACATTAGCTGCATCATGTTCTTGACGTGCGGTGCCAATCACAAAGGCATATTGGTCATCCCACCCACCTCAGTGTCAAGACCCTGGTCATGAAGATACATCTTCCACGTATCTGGACCACCTAGCATCTGGCAGCAACATCTTGGAACCAGCACCCACGAGCTCTCAGAAGTTACGCAAAAGGTTCTGCAATAAGGAGCAGATTCATCGAAGGACACACAAACTGAAGCTTGGCATAACTCCAGCCTGCCACAAGCTGAGAGACTTTGCGTGGCTTTGCGACAGCTACTGTTGTCGACAAGCCCAGGTTGTTCAAGTCACGCAGCGAGACCTCACACCGTTCAGACGGCCACAGATTCAATATTAGTATTGCCAGGGCAGTGGGGCGGGTGTTGGGGTGGAGAGGAGAGTTTGTGATGCTGATGATGATAGGAAATGAACAGGTATACATAAAAATGGCATAGAATAGAAACATCATACACACAATGTGTGTGCTCCTGACATCTCCTGACGATGATGATGATAACAACGATGAAATCGACGATGGAATTAACGATGAAACTGACGATGATGATGGTGATGATGATGATGATGGTGATGATGGTGATGATGATGCTGTTGTTGTTGTTCTTCTTCTTCTTCTTGTTGACAGTGATTGCAGTGATTGCCGTGATTGCAATGATTGCAGTGATTGCAGTGATTGCAGTGATGCAGTGATTGCACTGGTTGCACTGATTGGAGTGATTGCAGTGATTGCAGTGGTTGCGTTGGTTGCAATAATCAGTGATCAAATTGATCACAACGACTGTATTGGTTGTAACTGTTGCAATGGTTCTATATAATGGTTGTATGTAGTGGTTGTAAGGGGTACGATGGACACATCCAAGACAAACATAGTCTCTCGGATGGAATTACTTTTTGTGTCAGAAATTGGACCTGACACGTTGACATTAATTCCAAAATCATCACAATCCCAATGGGTTTCCACATTTTCCACACCAAAATATCAGTTGATGAGTTTATTTCCTATGGAAAAGCGAGCACTAACAGAACGTGGACAACGGGATGATACACTACAACTCCAACATATGACGTGATGATCTCACGATGACCACGATGCTGATGGGTTAAACCGGTTAAACCGGTTAAACCCCTTGTGGTTTGGTCATAAAGCAGTTCAATCTCTGCATCAAGAGGCCGCCAGCTTTTGATTCCAATCGTACACAAAGAAGTCGTGGAAATTCCTCACGCCAGGTAACCAACTCACATCTGCTTGCACATGCTGCGGTGCCTCACCATGTTTTTCCTCTTCAGTTCACTTGACTTGCCAGATCTACCAAGCAACACTGCACGGACACTTCGCATCACTTCGCTTTCCAAAGCTTATTTCAAACTGTTAAGAAGGCCACTCCTTCTGCCAGTCACAGGCTCATACCACACGTCAAACCTTGGCTCCCGCTACCATGTTTGCTTATCTTTATGCGCATGTTGTGGGAAAGGGTGACTCAATATGCCTCAATATAATTCAATATATATACATCAATAAAATCAAGATATCTCAGGAAAGAAAGCCACTACCTGACTCGCAACGGAGAAGCAAACCATCAGTGTCAACGGGCAATTAGAACAGGCAATGAGAGGCACACTTGCCCTGCGGATCTCAGTCCTATAGTCCTATCCTATAACTTTTAAGCGCTTGCTGCTGGGCAGCTGCAGGTTGACCTGGTCTGCACCATGAAGTCCCTCGGATCTTGCATTCCACGCACCTGACGCCGCTTCGATTCGAGCACTTCCACAGAAATTCTCAAAAAAGGCATCTTCATACAAATGCTGAATTGATTGATTGGCCCCATTTGGCCCTTTGCTTGGGGTCAAAAAAATGAACAAGTTTTTGGATGTTTTTGGTATCCTTCTAAGTGAGTATTGAGTATGGAGCTGCAAAAATGCGCTTGAACGATTGTCTGGGCGCTCATTGTTCAGCAATTGTTCAACATAATTACTTTTCTCGTCTTTCTGCGTTCAGACCCTTGATGCCCCTTCAAGACTTTTGCGCCCTGCCAGTTGCAGACAGGTTCCTGGCTGAAGTGATGCAAATGAGCCCACTTTGATGTCTACGAAGCCAACACTTCGATGCCACAAAAAGTTTCCAGCTCTGTGAACTTCAAGGCCTAAGCTCTCCGACTCAAAAGCACCCGCAGGGAAGAATGACGGTCGAACGCAAAAGGGTGTCAGCACAAAGGGCAGCTGATGGCGGGTGCAATTGTCATGATGGAAATAAGCCGATTTTGAAGAAAGTGGCGAAGGGTTTGCTCGCTGACATCCACATCAAAGGATATTGGGCTGCCTGGAGTCCGCCGCCCAAAGTGGGCGCAGGGTCTGCAAGGGCACAAAACAAACAAACTCACGTACTGTAAACATCATAAATTCCTGGTTCTCAAGAGGAAAACTTTCCCGCTAGCCGAGAGGCAACGTATCCTCAGTTCCAAACTCTCAGTTGCGTTTGGGGCAATTGAAGGCTTTCTCTTGCTCCATCACTCCCTATTTTTTGTCACTCAACTACTTGTTTAAAAATTATTTGAACATTTCAAAACTTTCGAATCATGAGTGGCTAGTCATGAGGCACAACCTTTTTCAAAATGCAAAAGTTGACCTAACATGACCTAACTACATCACCATCATCATGGCCAAAAGCCGGCCAAGGATCCAACTGGAATCCTCTGATGCAGTCTCAGTGCAGTATGACTGTTGCCCCATCTGCACTCTCACATACGTGCCAAGGACATCAAGGCCGACCAAACCCTCAGGGTGTCCGCGGGTAAAGCCAGGTCAACTTTCCCATGGCTCATGACTTCTCGACAATGCTTTATTATATTTTATTGTGCCTTTTCATTGCTCTTTAAATATCCAAGTCCGCATAAGTCCGCCCAACCCCCAGGATGTAACGAAAATCAAAAGAGTAGAGGTGAGCCCGCCATTAAAAGCACTATATACACAAACACATTTGAAAGAACTGGCCGAATGATGCCGAATGGGGATTCTATAGTTGAATCGTACAAGAGGAATCTGCCTGGATGCTAATCACAAAATATTACAAACCCATTGCATCCCATTGCTACATCTCGATGTCCCTGGCAAGACTACCCGGGGAGGTACTAAGTCACCAAACCCAGAGAACACGAACCGTGAGCACGCCTGCAATTGGATTGAGATGCGACCCTTGGGCTGCTTTCGCTCCCAGCAGCACGGCTGTGCTGGAGTTGCTGGGCATGTCCACTCCTCAAAGAGCGTCAAAGAGTCAAAGAGTGGCAGCTTCTTAGAAGAGATTTGCCTGTGCCAGTGCCAACGAATGGCCGAATAGCTTAAGCTTAGATATATGATATATAGCTTCGTGACTCATGGCATTCGTGTGCATTCGTCATGTCCTTGGGTGATAGCCTACCTTGCTTGCAACGAGAGAGTTGATCAGATCATGAAGTCCCCTGACAATGCATCTCGACTTCAACACAACGCCTAATAGCACAGGCTAAACTGGTAGGATGCCCATCCCTGAAATGGTCCTCAGCACATAGTTGTAGCCTGACCTGATTTGACATCCCTTCCCAGCTTGAGAGAGTGGGCTGAATAAAGCTGCTCAGAGATTCAAATGACAAACATTGCCAAGACATGCCAAAACAAGAGAAACCAAACATGTCCAATCCATTGAGCAGTGCCTGGGGCCAATTTGAAAATAGACGAGCTGTTCGCTTCGGAGTCACATTTGCAACCTTGGTTTTGCAAGGAGCTGACACGGCTCCAGATCCAAAAGAGGACCATGGATAGCCATGATCGCGGCAGACTTCCCAAGTTGTCTACATTGTCCGGCCATCCAGCTTGCTGAGCTTTTTTCCTCCGCTTATGCCAGGTCTACTGTTTCAAGGCATTTGCAACTGATACTGCGCAAACGCAACAAAATGGATCAAAACAGGGCAAAAGCGCCTATGGTCCTGAGTTAGGACAGCTTGCTTGCAACATGATTAAAGCTCAAGCTGAACTCGTTATTGCTGATGAACCGTGTGCCATGATGAAATATCGACAATCGGGTGCCGACACCTTGTCACTGTCAGATTTTGCTTTGATTTGAAGGGCATCAGCTGCGATCATGTCACATTAAATCTGCAAAGGCTGAAAATCTTCAACAGCCGAGTGATTCTGAATTGGCCGCTGCTTCAGCAACATAACGTCGGCAGTTGGCTGCGGGAGAAAACGTCTGTGAAAGCTGACTGAAGCTTCTTCATGATCTTCATGTAGGTTGAAGTTGAAGTCACAATGAGCGAAGCAAACATCAGCCACTGTAGTGTTCATCCCGTACAGCGCATGAGCCAAGAGCACCTACACGCTGAACAAGCGGCGCCCAGAACATTGCGCGATACCAGGCGCGTCCACGATCTCCTCAAGTGCTGCACCACAAAGGCCCACCATCCCGTTGGCATAAAGCGAGTAGTCCCTTTCTTTACACGAGATCTCCCTCGCATTGTAGCCCTTCTGGGCAAATGGACCAATGTTTTCAGTACGATCTCCGAAAAAGTGCACCTTCTGCGGTTCAATGGACACGCCCTGCTGTCGGTACCATTCAAGGATGCCATCTACTGCCTCGGTGCTTCATAGCTAGGGCTTTGTGGATTGTGAAAGGTGATGTGTTTTAGTTTTATGCGACAGAGTTTTCTCTGCTGGAACCTGAATGCAATAAAAGTTCTGCCTATAATAAGCAAGTTAGAGATATCGTCTGATCTTGTGGCATCTTGGGGTCATTTGTAGCCCAAACAGATCCTGCCATCCAATGTGTTTTCGCTGAGCTCATGGCGTTCTGCTTGAAGCGGTTCGGGCTACTCAAGACCAATGGACAGTCAACCCAATTCGAGCTGCACCATCGTGACCTTAGGAAAATCAACGTCTGATTTCTCATCTGTCCCACTAGTCTGAGACTATCCGACTATCCTTGTCTTTGACATCTCGCTGACATCTTTCTGACATCTTTCTGACATCTTTCAAGAGCGTGTTAGGCCATTGTGTTGGGTATGGAACCAAAGGCATCCCAAGGCGACTCTGTCATGGTGTGGCAAGGTACGCCTGCGGATTGTTCTTGCTGAACTCGTCAAAGACAGACGAGCGAAGCACTTGTTGCAGCATGACCCGACGGAGCTCCGACCCTTCTCCGCTAGCATCCCCTGCTGAGACCACTCCAAGGTAACAGGAGTCGCAAAAGGTCCTGCAAGGGCCAGGATCCAAATGAGCCATGAGAAGACCACAGAAAACCATGGAAAACCGTAGGAAACCATAGAAAACCATTCAAAAGCCTGAAGATCCTCAAGGAGAAAAAAAACGAAAGAGATGGCATCAAAGGGAGACCGCCAGAGGTGCAAGGAGAACCGGCGCAACACTGACACTGCCTTGACAAAACATCACTTCACACCAAATCACTCTGTTCAGCAAGTCTGGGCAGTTGGGCATCAACATCCCCAAAGAAAACATTACTCAGGTGCATGCGCAAAGAAAAGAAAAAAAACAAAAAACATAAGAAATAATAGCAAACTAAATAAATCAACCAATCAACAGAGAAAGAGGGGAATAGATCGATATATCAGTTTTGATCAATTATATAATTACTATTATATAATTAATGTCAAGTAAAAGGCAGTAAACATGAATAAACGGACCAAAAGGGTGGACCACGCACAGATGAAGAACGTGTGTGCATCACGTAGGCACATACACACACACATGTGTGTGTTTCTGTTTCTATGCAACATTGCTGCGCGCTCTATCGAACTTCCCAGGCTGCTATGTATGGACCTATCCCATCTGTCCGCCCTCTAGGAGAATAAGGGCGAGCGCGCGTGGACGTTGCAGCCCCGTGCGCCCACACTCACAGCCACCTCGACTTCCACCTCCATTCACATCATTTCACCTCCACCGGCCTCCAATCTACACAATTGCCTGATTCCATGAGCAAATCCCCGGCAACATGTTTTGGATGCAAGGGAAAGGCCCTGTATGTTCACTAACACGGCCAACCTCTCCCCGAAGTCTCCTTTTGAGGTTCTGAGCTGCGGCCGACAAAGTCAGGATGCCGCCTCCATAGGCAGTGTCCCACACGCCATCAACAATTTTGTTGGCTGGACACTGTGAGCCTTCAGCCAGCCCTTGCTTTCCGGTCAGGGTTCGATCAACGTCAAAAATGCAAATGCAAGCGCTTGGCGCTGGAGGAGCTGGTGTTGTCAAAATTGGTTCATCCTGGCAGAGCTTGACACCGCGCCACTTCGTGATCTCGGCCTTGGAAAACACAACGTTCATGTGACAACCCTGAAGCACCGCTCCATTTGCGAGTCCCAACATGCAAAGGCATATATATATATATATACGTACATATACGAATTTGTAATGTGTATGTATGTATGTATGTATGTAATTGTATGTAATTGTATGTAATTGTATGTAATTGTATGTAATTGTATGTAATTGTATGTAATTGTATGTAATTGTATGTAATTGTATGTAATTGTATGTATGTATGTGTGTATGTGTGTATGTATGTATGTATGTATGTTATGTACGTATGTACGTATGTACGTATGTACGTATGTAGGTATGTAGTATGTAGGTATGTACGTATGTACGTATGTACGCATGTACGTATGTACGTATGTACGTGTGTACGTGTGTACGTGTGTACGTATGTACGTATGTACGTATGTACGTACGTACGTACGTCGTACGTCGTACGTACGTACGTACCTATGTATGTGTGTGTATGTGTGTATGTATGTAAGTATGTATGTGTGTATGTATGTATGTATGCATGCATGCATGTATGTATGTATGTATGTATGGGTGGATGTATGGGTGGATGGATGGATGCATGTATGTGGGGGTTGTTTTTTATTCCTTTAAGTTGGTTTCCATTTAGGAGTTCTTGCGCCTCGCCCTTGCGCGCTCTTGCGCGGCCTGCGTTTCAGTCACTTTTATAAGGTTTTGGAAGGGTCTTTTTTGAGCATGGTTCCACAAAAATACAGGCATTAAAAAATTGACCTGGAATCAGTTCGGCAAGAACAGAATGTGGAGTCTGAGATGGTGAGTAGGAAGGTGTTTCAGACCAGTTTCAGACCAGTGTCAGACCTCTTTTGGGCCTGTCACTAGGCTTTCTCAGCTTCCAATATTTCCCCACCTGCCGGGTGAGGGTTGTTAGATTTTATCGGAGTTGTTCTCCTCCTCGGCTAGCTGTCCTCCTCCTCGTCCTCCTCGTCCTCCTCCTCATCCTCCTCCTCCTCCTCCAGTTTCTCCTCGACCATGTCTGCATCAACTTCCACCTGCACTTCCGCCTTGCCAACTCTTCGCCAAGCTCTTTGCCAACTCTCTTCGCCAAGCTCTTTGCCAACTTCCCGGCTCAGTGTGCGCCGCTGGACCTCAACCTGGGACCTTCCCAGCTCAGTGCGCACTGCTGGACCTCAACCTGGGACCTTCCCAGCTCAGTGTGCACCGCTGGACATCAACCTGGGACCTGCCCAGCTCAGTGTGCACCGCTGGACCTCAACCTGGGACCTGCCCAGCTCAGTGTGCACCGCTGGACCTCAACGGCCAGATAGAATGCCAGAAGATATGCCAGATAGAATGCAGAAGAATGCCAGAAGATATGCCAGATAGAATGCCAGATAGATATGCCAGATAGAATGTCAGATAGAATGCCAGAAGGTATGCCAGATAAAGTGCCAGAATGTTTGCCAGAACATATGCCAGAAGATTTGCCAGATAGAATGCCAGAAGATATGCCAGAAGATATGCCAGATATGCCAGAAGATATGCCAGAACATATAGAAGATATGCCAGGTAGAATGCCAGAAGATATGCCAGATAGAATGCCAGAAGATATGCCAGATAAAATGCCAGAAGATATGTCAGATAGAATGCCAGAAGATTTGCCAGTAACAAAACGTATAGATGTCATGGTGGGGATAACTCGAAGTAAAGTAATTATTTGAGCACTTGCTTTCCAAAACCGCCGTTTTGGAAATCAAAAGCTCCAAGCTGAATTCGGAGAACGTAAGCTCATTTCCCCAAAGGACAGTGTGCTAAAATAGGGGTGTCGACTGCCCTCTTCCAATATTTGTTTGAGTATTTGATTTCCAAAACGGCCGTTTTGGAAATCGAAAGCCCCAAGGTGAATGAAGAGAACGTAAGCATATTCCCCCTAAGGAAAATGTGATAAAATAAGGGCGTCGACTGCAAAACCTCCCACATACACACAAACACACACACACATGGGCAATGTGTCTGAGATATTCTGAGAATGTGTGTAGGAAGATACCCCCTGCTTCTGGAAACCGCAGGAGGAGAGGCGTTTAGATTTTGTTCTATGTCCTCGTGCCCAACCAATTCCAGGCTTACATAAACATACAAGCAATATATCTTAAGGTATAATATGTAGGAAAACAAGAACGAAAATGAACAAAATTTACATGTATATATAATATCCTTGCGCTCGCCCTTGCGCGCTCTTGCGCGGCCTGCGTTTCGAGCCATATAGCTGCCAGGGTGCAAAATCCTAAAATCAATTTTCCTTTGACGAATACTACGGGGATTAAAAACCTCTCATTCATGTATGTGTGTATGTGTGTATGTGTGTATGTGTGTATGTATGTATGTATGTATGCATGCATGCATGCATGCATGCATGTATGTATGTATGCATGCATGCATGCATGTATGTATGTATGTGCATGTATGTATGCATGTATGCATGCATGCATGTATGTATGTATGCATGCATGTATCTGTGTTTGTGCTTACATGGGCATACACAACCATACACATGTACTCAGGCATAGACATAGACGTATTACAGTACACATACCTACGTTTCCCAAAATGGCCATGCGCTCATGGTAGCTGCCCTTATTGGCAATTATCCCGGCAAGAGGCCCCAAACAGTGTGGGGGGAGCAAAACAAGAATGTATTATCATGTTGGTCATGATGTTACTGTTGATGATGATGATGATGATGATGATGATGATGTTGATGTTGATGATCATGGTGATGTTGATGATGGTGATGATGATGATGATGGTGGTGGTGACGATGAGGGTGATGGTGATGATGATGATGATGAGGAGGAGGAGGACGAAGATGACGATGATGTTGACCATGATGATGATGATGATGATGATGGTGAGGATGAGGATGAGGATGAGGATGAGGATGAGGATGGGGAGAAGAAGCAGAAGAAGAAGAACATGATGATGATGATGATGATGATGAGAATGTTGAGGAGGAGGAAGATGATGAGGTTGAGGAGGAGGATGTTGAGGAGGAAGACCGACCCCAAGACCGGGAAGCACACCTTGTGCGAGCCTGCGCAGTCGAAATGCACATGGGCATGTCACAAGAGGCATTTTGTGCGGAAACTCAAAGGGAAAATGACGGACGCTAATCCCGCGGCCAGCATTGTGTGCGAGCCTGCGCAGTCGAAATGCCTATCGACATGTCACAAGAGAGATTTTGTGCGGAACTATGCGGAAATTCACAGGGAAAATGTCGGATGCTAATCAGCTAATCCCGCGGCCAGCATTTTGTGCCAGCCTGCGCAGTCGCAATGAACATGGACATGTCACAAGAATTCACAAGAGGCATTTTGTGCGGAAATTTACAGGGAAAATGCCAAACGCTTCCGATACCACCTGGATTGAACACCGGGCCTGAACTTTTACCATAAGAACCCCCAGTGTGGCCACGCTGTTTGGGGAATAAAAAAGGAAAAGGTGGAGTTCGCATCATATGGGGGAAGGTGGCAAGATGCGGCAAGCGATTCCAAAATATTCCCCAAAAATCCCCAAAACTATTGGAGGCTTCTGGGACCGCAAGTATCAAGGCCAGATGGCTCTTGTGGCACCACAAAGGCCAATGATGCCATTTCCGACGGAGTAGTCACGGGATTGGCACGAAATTTCCCGTGCATTGTATCCTGAGCCTTGGAAAGGTGGAATGTTCCCAGTGTTATCACCGAAGAAGTAGACTTTCTCAGCAGGGATATTGATGCCAAGCTGGGCATACCATGCAACGATCCCGCCGACTGCATCCTGCTTCAGTCCATCAGGCCATGCAAGCACAAGGGGAGAAACCACCTGCCCGTTGGCAGACCAGACCTTTACCTGGCTGTTTGATGCAGCCAAGTCTTTGAAAGGCTGGCTGATAAGAACATTGTCGATCAAATATGAACGCTCAGCCGAGCCATCTCCACTGGCAATGCCGTGAGACACAATTCCCAAGTAGCAGCTCTTGCAAAAGGTCTTGTCTAAGCTCTGGGCAGCCTCTGACAGAACCAACCATCCCCCTCCGTAGGCTGCATCCCAAACACCTTGCACCTCTTTGTTGGCAGGACATGTGTTGAGCTCCCCCTGCTTTCCGGTTAAGGTTCTGTCAATGTCAAAAACGCAAAGGCAAGGCTTTCGGCCAGGAGGCAGTGGAGTCGGGAGCGGTGGTGCTGCTGTGGGTGCTGTTGTGGGTGCTGCTGTGGGTGCTGCTGTGGTCTCTGTGCCCGTGCTGTTGTAGCAATAGTCAAACGTGGGCACTCCTCTGCCTCTACACCCGGGCACCAGCTCAAGTCCATCACGCTGAAAGCACTTAAGGCCTCCTGCACAGTCAGCATCTTCATCACAGTCTCCAGAACAAAGTGGCATGTCTTGGGAGCCATGGTTTCCAAAGCTGCTGTCCAAAGGCGGCAGGCCCTCGTCACAATTTGGATCATAGCAGTAGTCAAACTGAGGGAAGTTCCAGCCGCTGCATCCAGGAACGGCTTGTCCGTATTCCCTCTTCTTGCACACAAGTCCCTCTGCGCAATCACTGTCTTCATCACAGTCCCCCTCACACTGTGCCATGTTTGGAGCTCCATCTTGGCCACGACTGACAAAACTACGTGGCACACATTGAGATTGGTCAGGGGACTCAGGGACTGGTTCCTGCTCCTGACCCCTCAGGCTTCTGTCGGGCTTTCGGCCTGGTTCTCCAGACACGAGCCATAGAAGCAAAGAGCACAAGAACAAGCGCATCATGGCTTTGCCTTTTGCAAAGCTTGCCTACCCTATTGTGGATGCGAAGCAATTCCACTTCAAGTGCCTGCGGAATATACTATACATCATATTGGATGGCATGCCAAGACGTACTGCAGGGTCTGTCAAAGTCTTTTTTTGGGCCATACTGGCCATACTACCTAGACCTAGACTTCACACACGAAGAACAAGTGCTGGGTCCAAGTTGTTTTTCCTGCAGCTTCTGATCTTTCTTGCAGAAATCTCCTCAAACAGAGTGCTCTAGCGCTGCCAAGACACAGCAACTCTCAAGATTCCAAGTGGTTTAGCATCGCGGAGGGTTGCAGTGTCCACCACGTCTTCATCATCAACAAGGGGGATGTTGATCACCTTAGCAATCCGAACGTAAGATATGCATGACGCAGGCTCAATCAAAAACAGCCTTTGAAACCGAGCTGAACCTTTCACGCGAGGTTACACTGAGTCATTGACTCAGCCTGAAGGTAACGAAAGCAAATACATCGCAACCAATGAAAATCTGGAGAGCCAAGTGCCTCCCAACCCCTTCCAAGGCACATTTGGCAATAAGAGAGCAGTGGTCGCTGAAGACAGCAAATCTTGCAGCAGTTTCCTTACAAATGCCCAGTTTGACACCTGGGGAAGCAGGATGTCACAGGGTGCTGAGAGATGTCATACGGACATGGAAATGTGAAAAATATTGAAAAAATGCTACGTCAGGCTACATCCCTCCAAACAACACGCACAGTCTCGTGTGATCTCGTGTGTCATTCTGATGACAAGTCTCTCCGTGTGCGTGTGTGCTTGTTTTGCACTTAAGCATCTTGTAAAAATAGGACCAGCTAAAGACCCGTCAATGTGCATTCTCAGGTAGAATGGAAGCAACTTTCTGAAGCCACTCTATGCAATGCGTTCCCCCTATGAATCGTGACATGCTGCAGTAGATTGCATCATTTCAACTTACTATTCCTCGACCCGCCCGTGCCTGCATGGGACCGCAGCCCAAGCGGAAGTCAATCGAGGGCGCATCCACGAAATACACGACGATGCCTGCTGACCAATACTCGCCAAAAAATAAACTCAGCTATACTCAGCTGCTACAGGTTGAGTCATGCTGACCATAAATTCAAGCAGTTGATCAGCCTTGAGGCTGGTGGATCTAATGTGGTCGCTTGCTGAACCTTCCTGTCCTTGCAATCTTGCTTGCCTCCCACCACTGGCAGTTCATTGAGCAAGGGGTCCAATCGAATAACTGCACCTCAGCAGCAGAGAGCAAAAGCAAAACCAAAACTGTGATGCAGCATGACGTACTCTCATGAACTTTCTGTGTGTGATTGGGGTTCTCAACCCGAAAGTTTTCATCATGGTTTCAGTCTGAGCTTTGGGTTTCCTTTCATTGAAAGATAGCTCAAGCCAGCACTCAAACCAAGCAATGACAAAACAATTGCAACTTCAGACCTGGGCGAGAGGCTGAAACATCCACCAACAGCATAGTCACTGCAGTGTTTCACATCGTTCCTGCGGCCACTGATCACACAATTTCATACGTCAAGATGCTCCAGGTTGAAGGCGACACGAAGTTCAACTCCTTGACGATCCACCAAGCTCCGACAAGGAGCATCAGAAACTTCGACCCCCAAGACCTGTGGGACGCCACGTCCAAGTTTGAAACGCCGAAAGCAGAAACTGCGCCTCGACTCGGGTTTCCAAAAAGCACTGGGGATAGAAAACACATAAATATCACAAAAATATACAAAAATAAGATTCGGATCAATAAAAAGTAAGATCGCGAGAAAATAAGATACCGTCTTTGCACAATAACACATACTTGAAAGACACACATACACATACACACACAAACATAAACACTTGACATGTCACACTTGAATCCTCTGCTCTCTGGCGAGCTTGCTTGCACAACACATGTCATAAGGGATTCACAGAGCAGTGCAAGGTTGCTGCCAGGCAACAGGGGTCCTGGGAGCGATTGTTGGATCTTGGGCTGAACTTCCTCCATCATGAACCTGGCGCAAAATGTTTGCACACTCTGCTTGTCTGAACACCCATGAAACCCCTCCTGCCAAACAGGCCACTAGTCACAGCATGTTCAAGGTCCAAATGTGTTGCTCAAAACAGCGGGCTCGAAGGCTTGAGTTGTTTTCAATTCAGATGGAGAAACATGGAGAAACACCATGCGGTCTCAAGAAGATCAAGGGTATCACCTGCACTTGCAACATCTTGCAACTCATTTCACAATGGTTTCACAATGGTTTCACAATGGTTTCACTATGGTTTCACTATGGTTTCACAATGGTTTC